AAAAAAGAAGAAAGAAAGAAAAATTGGACTCGTATCTGCACGTTAATCATTGGTGCATAATCACGTAAAATGCGTTCAGATCTGCACCCTATTGGATACCAGTGTCCATCACTGCTTCCCGTGTCGTTCCATCTTCCGTAAGTCACCAATAATCCTCTGCGTTATTAGGGGGGGGAACGAAGGGTCCGGCATCCTCGAGGGTCAGACCTTTGAGCGACTTGCAGACGATCGGCGTTTTAGCTCGTTTATCCGTTGGAGATCGACCCCAAAGGCGGTGTCAAAGCTTGGCCTTTCGACATCCCCTCTTGGTCGGAGGACACTATTTGGAGTCTACATACGACCCATCTCAAAAGCTAAATGGCAGCGTTCCCGGTCGAATGGATCAAAGAAGTTGGTTCATTGGTCGACTCGCATTTTCATCTCGAGCCATGGATGCCTTTTCCTGCAGCGAGATCATCCCGAAAGCTTATCACAGTCTTGCAGCACGCTGTGTTTCAACTGGCATGCAGTGAGACCCCCTTCCTTCCGTCGATAACAGAGATGTGGGCGAGGTATGTCTCCTTGCGGGTGACAACAGGAACGGAAATGCTCAACGGTGCGGTATGTATGGAATGGTGGAATCGTTCTGGCGGGGAACACACAAAAAAACAAAAACTTTGAGATTGTCAACTACTAAATGGTTATTTTGCTGTCAGCGTTTTGATTACCAAGATACCTTGGGACGAAGTCATTGTCAGCAAAGAAGAGCTCACGGTTCATAGTATTAATCAGTCTTGGTCAGGTATCACAGGGCTGGAGATGCAGACATCGCACTGCAAATCCCGAAGGAATGGGGTTTGCATTGTAGACACAATAGAAATGTTCGTTTTTGGCCAAAGCAACTACCCTGTTGCCCCACAAATAGTTTTCTGCACGTTCAGGGATCCAACATAACAGCGGGATGGTTGAAAGGGCGACGGAAGTGGTTGTTGCAGGACACGAGCGGATCACCTGCTCGAAGGTTCAAAGGGAGGATAAGCTGTTACATCCCTCACTTCACGAATGCACAACCACCCATGTCATTGAGTTTCTAGTAGACATAAAAGCTTTAAACAAATCGCGAATTATATAGGGCGCTGTGAATCCAGCGGGATAGAATTGTCACAGAACTTAGAGCACGGAAAGCTTCCAAGCTGCACGGCTTTTATTAAATCACTAAATCTAAATTACAAGGAAATGACAAATACAGTCATCAATCCGTGGGTTCGGCCGAGTTCCAAACCTCTCAGCAATAATAGTAACACGTTGGCCGACAGCCCTTACAGCGCGACAGACCGGGCGATGGACAAAGACACGGATCGATGCGATCGACACATCCCTGCGGTTGCTTAGGGGTTGTTCGATGCGCTAATAAGTCTGTTGAGAGACCTTGAAGACGCCCTGGCCATAAGGTTAGCGATTCCCTACGCGGAACATCGAAGGTTGAGATCATCTTTACCTAGTAATGGTGGCGACGGGCGTAATGGCGTCTGGCGTAAGCCGACGAGGATGGAGTCGCACTAGAAGATGGGATCGCGCTAGAGCTAGGGGTAGGAGTAACACCAGCGCTGCTGGAAGCACCGCCAGTACTGCCACTGCCAGCACCCAGCTTGCCGACACCCGCGTTGGCCTTGACATATGAAGGCACCTTATCCGTGGTCATAGCCTTAGTATCGCCTTCGCCCGTAGGCCAGCCGGAGAGAACCGCTTCGTCATTGCCAGACAGTTCGCCGGAACTGGTCAGCTCATTAGCGATGCAAGGACGGCCTAGCGCAGAGGTGCAGGAAGACGCGTCCTCGGCGGTCGCGGCAAAGGTGGAGCCTGGCGTATCTTCAGGGTTCATAGGGGTCTTGACGTTGGAGAAAACGTTGCCCTCAATAAGGACGTTAGCCCCCTCACCGATATCGAAGGCGTGACCGCTGTTGTTCTCCCAGAAGTTGTTGTATGCGTGCCAGTGGCTGTCGAACTCGATCTTAGGAGAACGGCCAGAGGTGTGGTGCACGTAGTTGTTAGCAAACGTGATTTGATCGCCCTTGCCATAGCCGAGGCTGCAGATAATTAGTGCCCATTGTGATGATCCAGCTTTAGGATTATAGCCACTTACACAGACCAGTAGTGGTGCCCATCGCATGAGGCAGACCACTTAGTCTGACCATCAAACTCACTGTTGGAAACAGTGACACTACCACCTATTGATTTAGTAAGCTTTTGTCTGACCAACGTTGAATGCTGCCGCCCATGATACATACTAGACTCGTAACCGGTTACAAACATCTGGCGGCCAACCAGGGAGACCTTGACATGGTCGATCCAAATCTTGTCCGTGCCGTCCAGCGAAATAGCATCACCACCCCAGATGTACTGGGGGTTTAGCTCGGTGATGTGAATGTTCTGGATGATGATGTTGCTGACGCCATTGACCAGCCTCAGACCCTTACCACGGATCACACCAGCATCTCCAACACCGATGATGCTCTTGTCAGAGGCAACCTCCAAGCCTTCAAGGCCGGCATTGTCGTATGTGCACGTCGTAGTAGGGTATGAACCACACCAGTCAGAACCATCGGTTTTGATTGCGTTCTGGCCAGCATCGCCACAGGTGTTGGAGTCCGGGATACAGCATTCGCAGTCGGTACAAGTATCCTCAGTACCGATGAAGTTGAACTCCTTATCGATCACGATCACTCGGGGGGTGGAGTCAGACAGCCATTCCTTGAGCTCATCTGTGTCCTTGGGTGCCGCAGGAGCAGCGTTACCACCGCCGGTAGTCCCGCTAGCGAAGCCAAACGCAGTGCCGACTACACTTTGGGCCTGGACAGATGCACCCAGCAGAGCAGCTGCCGTCAAGAGAGGACGGAGGAGGACCATTTTTCGCAGAGGAGTTATGGCCAACAGCAAACGAGGACTCAATACCAAATGGCACAAACCAACCGTACCAGCAGTTGTCGATATGAGGAATGGATTGAGAAAAACGAGAAGAGAGTGTAGACTACCGATATCTTTTGCGCATCCATGGATCTGATTGTGATTTTATATGCTGCCAGAGGAAGTTGCAGTGGTAGAATGACGACTACTCTCATATCGCCGAGAATATTCCTCCACCAATTGTGCAGAAATACAGCATCATTCACCCGCAAAGCGGAGTCTGTTAGAGATTGATGGAACGGGCGGCATGGTGAAACTGGACCGGTTGGTAGACTAGGAGAAGGCTTCCTTCTACCGCAATTTTCCCGGTCGATCACTTATGCTGTGTTCCTGTCGGCGGTACTTCCTGATGCTTAAAGGTTCGTTTGTAGGTATATTCGGATATACAGTTATTAACTGAGTGCAGATAGCAACCGAGGTCAAAGAGCATGCAAAGGGCAGATTAAAACAAGGGACATTACCAGACATGTGCGGTAACACGGTTGTTGTCTCGAGTCAGGGACTGCCAATGATTTCCACATAGGGATTTTGTTGGTGGAGAAAAGTGGAAAGATCGTCAGGGCGAGTGCTCAGTAGTTAGAATAGCAGTTGGTCCGCCCGCACTGGACCCCAATCAGTGAGCGGTTAGATACACCTGATCTCTTTGCACGATTCCTTTTGCTCTGAGGCCGTCCGTATACGGAGTACACATAGATCTCCATTTCATGGCGGAACGGTGGCTATGCATTGCCGATCTTTAACTGTCTGAGATTCACCCCACTGTCTAAGTCCCGGAACAATCAATCCCTCACGATCCCAGGAGTGCACGACGAGTATGGCATATTACTATGGATGAATTGGCAGCGATCGTAATTATCTCTACAGCTGTGCTTTGCAAGTTAAGCCACCAACCAACGGATGCTATCGCGAAAACGGGATGGAGCCTTTATTCAACGGGAGTGATGTGGGAAGTTGGGTTTTACTTTGAGCTTATAATTCTAGCCTTGTCTAAACGTCGGTAGAAATTGCTATGGCGAGTACCTCACTGACGAGGCCCAATTCTTCAACGAACGGTATAAAGTGGATAATAAGGTGTGGGTAGTGAGGGGATCCCATGCCGATCTCTTAATATGGGTATCCCTAAAATTAATTGCCCAGCACCTTGGGATAGAGATCACCAGAGGAGGGAATTTCATGGAAGGTTCTAAAGGACCAGGCCATTTCCCAGGAGTCCTGGTCATTCTTATGCAGGGCTCGGGGTCTTTTAAGCGGCGCATATCCTTGTCACTGCACTGGTTAACTTTGGAGACATGTGCCTTCATTGAGTTTATGAGTGATAAATAATATAGTGTTGGTGCCTTAAATGCATTATACAAGGCTAATCTTTAGTCACAGCATAGGAAACTGGGGAAAGATATAGAGAAAAGTTTGGCTGGAAGCGATCATTGATAAGACTAGTCGTTCTAGATCATGGCTAAGGGAACAAAGGGAAAGAAAAAAGTTTAGGATAAGACATAATGCTTGACTAAGATATGCAGTGAGGTCTCACTACTCCTACTCAAAGATTTTTAGAGCGATGAATGGTCGGTACATACTAATAACAAGGGTACCAGGGTCCTCCACCTGAAATGTAACCCTGAAGATCTCCACTGTCCCCACTAGGTAAAATAATATATACCGACCTCGCATGGTATTTAGGTCCCGTCAAAAAGCTTGTCGTGGCAATTGGTGTTACTTGAATGACTTAATACATGTAAAAGTAAGTTTAATCCATGGCCTTTTAATACTGTGTTTGCAACCTCATCAGAGAAGTCGCAAGTATAGGTGTACTGCTGAAGGTGGTATGGATGCTGCCGCGCCTTGCAGTCCGTCGCGCGGGCTCACTGCGAATCAAGTCCCATATCGCCTACAAAGGTCAGTTGGCCGTGTACCTTGGTCTCAGTCCAGAAGGTAATGGCAATCTCTGGGTTGTCAAACCACCAAGGACCTTGCAAGATACATGATGTGCATATGCTCCAAGGTACTCATACGCGTTGTATAATACGGTGAGCGAAGGACAACACTCTTTGAGCTCAACATTCGCCTTTTCTCGCGACTAACATGTCTTCTTTTGATGCTCACAATGTTGACCTTGATACAGTCAGCCAGGCGGACGTGCTCTGCTATCTGGCGCTGTCCGAAAACGACTACAACGGCCACCTGGGCGCCCGCATAAGTTCTATATTTGTTATCTTCATCACGTCAACCTTTTTCACCTTGTTCCCCGTGATCGCCAAACGAGCTCCCGGGTTGAAGATCCCCTACCACGTTTACCTCCTCGCCCGATATTTTGGCACAGGTGTCATAGTGGCTACATCTTTCATCCACCTGCTGGATCCCGCATACAGCAGCATCGGCCCGAACTCATGTATCGGGGTGTCCGGACACTGGGGAGACTACTCCTGGTGTGCCGCTATAGTCCTTGCCTCCGTTGTAACCATATTTCTCCTGGACCTGGGCGCAGAAGTATACGTAGAGTACAAATACGGTGTCCAACGAAACGACGACGCGGCAGAGGCCTTCATCACACACTCCTGCGCGTCGGATTCAGACAGTACATCCCAAGCCGTGGAGACGGGCACGCCCACCCGTAAAAACACCGACATTCACACGGAGGTGGCCTCGGTACGTTCCGAGCGGGCATTCCGACAAGAAATCGCAGCTTTTCTGATCCTCGAATTCGGCATCATATTCCATTCCGTCATAATCGGTCTGAATCTAGGCGTGACAGGCGAAGAGTTCACGACTCTATATCCCGTGTTGGTCTTTCATCAAGCCTTTGAAGGCCTGGGAATTGGAGCGCGTATGTCAGCGCTCCATTTTGGGTCCCGTCAGTGGTTGCCGTGGGTGCTGTGTCTTTTGTATGGACTAACGACGCCCATTTCCATCGCTATTGGACTTGGGGTGCGAACGTCGTATAACCCGGGATCCAAGACGGCGATGGTCGTCCAAGGTGTGCTGGATGCGATTTCTGCGGGGATTTTGATTTATAGTGGACTGGTGGAATTATTGGCGAGGGACTTTTTGTTTGATCCCGACCGGACAAAGAGGAGATCGCATTTATTTGTCATGGTGGGATGTATGCTGTTGGGAGCGGGGATCATGGCTTTACTTGGGAAGTGGGCATGAACAAAAAGAAAAAGAATGCGAAAATTGATGATGGGTAAAGGCGAGCTGAAAGGAAAGGCGACGATCATTGAGGACAACAAATAAGGCGGACTAGTCAAGTGGGGTCATAGGGAGCGTTCGCCGCGAATTCCTATTTCTACACAACCTTTTTCTTCAAATACGGCCAGCTGTACGTATGTATTGGTAATATAACACGATGACTGCCTAATTTGAATGCAGATGTACAGTTCATGCATGATGGCCGTGCGTATATTAAGCCTTCACCACCGCTTTTCCCTCCCTCTCCTCCTCTCTCTACGTCTAGGAATCATGGCTTCGGCTTGGCCCCCGGTCATGGATCGCAGTCGTTTTTATCACATACCTTTTCCCACACTCAGTTGAGTTCACCAACGACAACATCATAATATATACATCTCTTATGTAACCATGGGCAAACACAACCCCCAAGCCAAGCAAAGGGCCCCAACCCTCAACGAAACCCTAGACTTCATCGAGCAAACCTACAAAGAATCAAAGTTAATCATCGTCGGCTGTCTGGCATCCTGGACACTCTGTCGACTGAATTTCCGCTTTGTCTGGCTACTCATCATCCTAGCTTTCTGCCGTACGCAATACCAAGTATCCATCCGACGAATCGAGCGCGCCATCCGAGACGAACTCCGTCGGTACCACTCACAAAAGATCTTACAGCGCGGTGAAAGCGTAGAATGGGTAAACGATGTCCTAGGGCGAGGATGGCATCTCTACCAACGCCAGATCTGTAAACGGATCGTTCAATACGTCAACGCCGGACTGGCCCTACGCAGCGAAGATTCGTCCCCGCAGAAACTGGTCATCCATTCTCTGGCTGCCGTGGAACAGCCGCTGCGATTTACAAAAGTGACGACCTACTCCAAGCCTCAGTCACGCAATTTGATCATTGAAGGACACTTCCGCATCGATCTCCGCCCACCGGACGATCACAGAATGCATCTGCTGGGCCTTGTACACAGTGATGAACCACTCATTGACCTGGCTATTGTGCATGAAAAGCCAGACCGCAAGAACCATGATCTCGTAGTGCATGTGAGACAGGTTACAGGAACGGGGATAGTACGGTTAGAAATCGACCTTGAGAGTATGGAACCACATATCCTACAGCCGCAGATTGAACTGCAGGATCATCCACATATCGACTGTACGATCAAGACAGTGAGTCAGCATCATTTTCCCTTTCATTTTGCGCATCACATCGACTGGCGAAGAGCGGTGGAGAAGCAAATTCGCGAGGGGCTGGGATGGGCCTTCCACCGACCTTTACCGCTTCCGTTTCACTTTTTCGGCGAGAAATTCTTGGTCAAGATGATGACGTGGTGGTGGCAGCTGAGTCGGGCCGTTCATGATTAGTCGTTGATAATGAATAATGAATTACTATTAGTTATTGGTTTCCTCCATGGGGACAAAGTTGAACAGAACAGTAAGAGTGTCATTGGTTCATTTGGTACCGAGAAAGCCGAGTCCAAGTGGGCCATCGCCTCGTAGGGCTGATGGTTGGGGATGAGAAAAAAGTGCTGCCTAGAGGAAACACGTCCATTGCTCCCCGTCGTATTGCAGATTACACCCGTAATATGCAACGCAAGGGGGAAATAAAATCATCCATGCCGAAAATCCCTGCCAGAATGGTATGTCCCTCTAATACTTTCCAGTGGTTGACGGAGTTTTTTTCAGTGGAGTGACAGGAGAACTCCCATGCGTTCCGAAGTTCCGACCCTTGGTTCTGTCCAAGGGGGTAAAAAGCCAAATTTAGAACCGATTAAAAGACTGTTTCAATAATTAGCCAATAATAGAACATGCTTCTTTATTTAATGCTTCAATCAAGGGGTTTGTATCGCACTGTATTGAGTAATGGACAATGGATTCATGTATGTATGTATTTATATAAAGTACAAAATGCAGAGCACATGACATACCTGACCTACACCCCCGGGTCCCCGTCTAATTTCCCGATCAGGGAAGTGGATCGCTCGGACAGAACCTTCGTCCGAAGATACCGATTCAGGTCTCTCAGCCCGAGTTCATTATTCCCCCGTAGGGCAAGCCAATGTTAAGTATAAAACGGAAGAAGGAATTGATTAACATAAAGCTCTCACCGACAACTTGGTGGGCTGAAAAATAGATAACGTAAAATGTGCAGAAATAAAGAAAAGTAAAGCTATGCTTAACCGTCAAGCTGCCCATACTTATCCGCGTTTGTTTCAATTTTCGACGTAGCACTTTCAGTTCATCGTCGTTATGCCTTGTTCGCCTAGCGATGTCGTGGCCCCACTGTCTCATCTCTTCTTTGTTCGTAATATTTCCAATTGGCGGTCCCGGATATTCTTGCGAAGCAGTAGAGACATTCCCTCATGCTTAGAGCATTGGGGGTGGAGGCCTGAGAGCCATAAATAACCGGGGAGAATAGGAGGCGGAACATTGATCGCCGCTTTATAATTATGGCCTGTTCGTAGGTGCAAACAAAGCCATACCTGCTGCAGCCATATTCGTCCATGTATTTGGCCACTTGACCTATTAGAGACGTTAACATGGGGGTAATAAATGCATCGTTGAGCATGTATATGTACGTACCTAGCACTTTACCCAGCGCTGTCGACTTCACATTGTCCAGGACAGTATTCCAGGAGCATTTGAACTCACCCACTAGTCGGGTTTATCCATACTCGAGGGACGGCTGTACGATTATATCTTAATAATATCGTGTAATTATAGGTGATCCAGTCGATCTGTCAACAAAGCGAACGGAGAATCACTCGGCAGCTTATATCCCCAGCTCGGTTAAGTGCACTCTACTAAATGCATTTAGGAATGCCAGCCTTCGTCGTCACATTATAAGTGCATATAATCGGAAGTATAGCAGTTTCTGAGTTCGCGAAGCTTCGAAATGTCTAGTCGTCAGTGTGAGCATTGCAAAGTTGAGTCCCAGGATCAACATCGGCCAAGACATAGAGCTTTGGGCAAGCCCATTATGGCTCGGAAGTGACAGGTGTCACAACCCAAAGAGCCAGACGTGTGTCATTTGATCTACGACCGGCTGACGGGAACTGTGTACGAGGTTGGCCGCTCTTAAGCTTTTCAACATTGTGCTGACTCCACTGCAGGTGAACGGATTGCTACTCTTGACTAGATGAGAGGCAGACCCTCAAAGCGGCGTATCCGTCTGATAGTCAATTGTACCCTTTGTACGCGTGGAAGTAATCCGGCTGTCACTCTCCACTACTCGCTCCTCTCACTTTGTTCACTTTCTTGGCAGTTCTGTTTTAGTTAGCTTTCCGACTGCGACGGGTTTGGCTTGTATCAGGGAAGCTTTTTTGACTCGGTGTCTCAACTGTGGCAGGTAGCTTCTATTTCTTCGATTTGTCAAACTGGATAATAATGAAAAATAGTGAAAGTGGTGCGGGTTAATCCCTTTAAGCATACTACGCATAATTACATATTATATAGTCAGATTCTACAAGTGGGAGTCTATGAGATACTAGAAAGGAACCGCACTGGAACCACGTGAACGGCCTCTACCAGGGGGCCGCTGGGGGCGCTTACAGTTGCCAGTGGTCGGGAGCAACTCCAAGCGCCTCAATTTATCACATCATAAACGAAAGCCAAAGGCAAGTCCAGATGGCTGGGATATTATTTAAATATTACTATGTGGGCATTGAGCGTTCGGATTCGATTCAAATCGTGTTTGCTGCACTTGTCAACTTCATCAAACAACGACGACATCGTACAACAACACACGACAAAAATGGGCTTAAAATCCCCGATTCCGCTGAAAGATCTCAAATTCAACATACCGGTGCCATATACGCTACACGTAGACCGGGAACTGCTTCATTTGACCAAGCAGAAGCTAGCTCTATCCCGATACCCCGAAGAACAGACCGATTTTGGCGAGAACAACTGGGCCCAAGGAGCCAAGGTCTCCCGCGTAAAACAGTTAGCAGAGTTCTGGAAAGGCCACTATGATTGGGAGGCCGAAGAGGTGCGTTGAGCTTCCCACTGTGCGACAAGCTAGCACTCACTAGTCAAGTATAATAGCGCCGCCTGAACGCTATCTTCAACCATTTCCTAGTCAAGATCGACGTCCCTGGCTACGGGCCCCTGGTATTGCACTTCACCCACACCAAGTCTACCAGGCCAAGTGCCATCCCGCTTCTATTCTCCCACGGCTGGCCTGGCTCATTTGTGGAAGCTGTCCGTGTTGTGCGACCCCTAGCTGAGCCCGAGGACGCAAAAGACCCGGCCTTCCACTTCGTCGCTCCATCAATCCCCGGGTTCGGCTTTTCGCCGGCGCCCACTAAGTCCGGCGTCGGTCCTAATGTGGTTGCGCGCGCGTACAAGATTCTAATGGCCGACGTGCTGGGATACCCAAAGTTCGTGACCCAGGGCGGCGACTTCGGGTCCTTCATCACACGTTCCATCGCCATCCAGTACCCCCAGGTCGTGCGTGCTCAGCATTTGAACATGTTCCCAGTACCTCCCCCTACGCTGTGGTCGGCACCGCTTGCTTATCTACGCTGGTGTTTGTCCGCGTTGACGTACTCTGAGTTCGAGCACGAGTCATTGTGTGTACGCCGGAACTTCGAGCAGGACCAGAGCGGGTACCTCGAGGAGCAGAGGACCCGGCCGCAGACGTTAGGGTTTGCGCTGGGGGATTCTCCTCTCGGGCTGCTCGCGTGGTTTGTGGAAAAGTTTCATGATTGGGGGGATGTGCACGATGCCTTGAGTGATACGGATGTTATCACGTTGGTGATGATGCATTGGATTCAGGGCGCAACTCCTGGTCTGCGGTTCTATAGGGAAGCCTTCGGCCGTGGAATGCGAGAGGCTGAGAAGACCTTTGAGACGTATGTGTCGGCGCCTTGCGGAGTCAGTATGTATAAGAAAGAGCAGCTCCATGTAAGTCAAATATCTCATGACATGTGTCAAGTAAACGGAAGACTGTGTACTCATGAATCCAAGTGTCCTCGTGACTGGGCCGCCCAGGCCGCCAACATCCATTACTGGCGGGAGTATGATCGAGGGGGCCATTTCTCGTCTCTTGAGAGGCCGGATCTGTTCGTGCAAGATCTCCGCTCGTTCTTTTCCTCCCCTGTCGTTATGCAGGCATATGCTCGGCAGTAGAAGGTAGTGAAGGGTTACGCGGGCTGCACAGTCCCCATGTGATATAAGAAAAGGATTTCCTCTCCGGACAGGGTAATGCATGAAATGTTCATTGAGCTTCGTCACCTACTGGATATCCTCAAGATGCATTCTATGACTACTATTTCCCATAATTAGAAACCCCAGAGCTTCCTAAGATCGGCGGCTCGATCTGAAGTCTTCCAGCCTGTTTCATTCTCGATTCGAGACAGATGTTTGAGCAAAAGTATCTTCTCCGTGGCATATTCTTCCTCCAGATTGGAGCGAGTATGATGCGAGGGTCTTATGATACTAAGTATTGATGACGGGGGAAAATACACTTGATCATCTGAAGAGCCTGGACAATCCGATAAGGATGACGACTTGCTGGCGAATACTGCTCCTGCAATATAAAGTGGTTGAAGCTGATTGACCCAGTTTGCACTAAATGTATCAGCCGAAGTTTCATATTATCTCTCTGTTATCCCTTTCGGATAGTGAGTTAAAAAGGATATTCTTTGAAACCTACTGAGACGGGTTTGACATAGATATGCCACAGAGTTCCCTCGCATGCCAAACAATATCAACCTTAAATCTGGTTAGCTTGGACACTTCAATTGATTTCTTATAGCTCATATAAATCCCAAATATAAGGTAATGTCAAGTGACAAGAAATACCTACAGCATCCGTAACGCGGGAAGACAAAATCTCCGATTCGGGAATAAGGCCAGTCTGTAAGAGTAGCATGGATCCGGTATGGTAAAAGGTATTGCCGCAAACTATGAAAGTTCAGAATAGAGCTATATACGCAGGAAGCAAGCAACTTACTAGCCGAGGCACTTGTGTATATCACAGTCGGGAACACCCTGGGAGGAAGACAGGAGTCCCTCAGTAATGGGCACACCTCCTGAGGGCGGAGCCAGTACCATTTCTGGAGCTCCCCCACAGTCTAGAGACCGAGACGGCAAATGTAGACCCAACTTTTCTTGTGCTAAATCCAGGTGCAGCTAACATATTGACAATCTGAGCAAATATAAAGATGGCGAAATTACAATAGTCATCCACGTCCCTTTTCGTGGCCAAGGATTCGATGGATGCATCATCCAACCAGAAGTCCGTTGGGATTAGTGTCGTCTTACCGCTGATAAAAGCCGCCCATACATCTACCAAAGAGTAATTAGTCATTGTCATGAACTGGGCTTCTATAAGCTGTACCAATTCGGGCAAATGCCCAGAAACAGGATTTCACAATTCCCTGGCTCGAACCATTCCACTTCTTTGCTAGAAGAAGGCCAGCACATCCCTGTACAAGTAATAAGCATATATATCAACACGAGACAAGCGTACGACAGCACCAACAGACCTTCAAATGCCGCCGCCACTCATGGACATCGGACGCCATCATTTCGTAAACACACAACAGGGTACAGGTTGCAAGAACCGATGCGTCTGCTTTTGCGGGGTCTTGCCGGAGAAGGAGTTGTATAGTATATTGATACAGCTCTAGGGTGGCTGGCCGCCGCACTTTCTCGGCGTGGTCTAGCTGGCGGGAGGCGAGAGACATAGCAGCTCCTACAAAAGCCGTGAACTTCATCATCGAATGCAGGGATCGCATGGTGAAATGTACATTGGAGTCGGTTGTCTCACACCACGTTCCAGTCTCTTGCATGAATGAAGAAATCAAACGAGCTTTTTCTGTGCAAGTTACAGGCAAAACTGGCTCGGGCAACGGGAACTCGTCCCGAGAAACCGCCAGTCCAAGCGAGAACGGGGGAATATACGCCCCAGTCTCATGCGTAGCTACGCCATGGGGCCTATAGTGATAGACATCGGATGATGGGGAGAATGAGTATTCAAGGAACACGGGCTGGAGTGATTGCGCAAATTGCGTGTTGGGCTGACATAGCAGATTACTGATGCTGAGGTCTCCGGTACTCAACCCATCGTTAGTTCCCGAAGCACGAGACGTGGAAAACTCCTGTGAATGAAGATAAGAGGTATCCAGCGCGCTCGAACTACCTTTAGAGCCACAGCTAGCTCTTTCTAACGCCGTGGCATCATCTACGACAGATTTGTCTTCATCAAACACGTCCTCATTTTCGTCTCCATCCACCCCCGATCTGTCCGCCTCATGCGATTGGTATAGAATAGAATCAGAAGCGTAAGCATCTCCAAGGAAATGGTAGTCACGAGCAATTGACTCTGACTCATCGATTATCTAGAGCAATAGGTCAGTACACGCACTAAAGCTTCATCACTAAATGGCATAATATACCGTCGGAACGGCTTGGGCCTGAGACGGCAAAGACTCCCGGCGCCTTTCAATAGCGCACAAGGAAGAAACTTCACTATGGGATAAGCTGAGGTTGCGCGAATGGTGAAAAGAAGCCTTAAGCCCCCATCGGCAGGTCGTCCCCCGAGTCTGGCAGTTCCTACATTGTGGACGGGCTCCATCGCCTGCAATGGTATACGTGAGCGAATAATAAACACCATCCATATACCATGGTATTCTTACACTTCCGGCGACGGCTACGGCATTTCAGGCTGGAAAACTGTCAACTGCAGCCACTCATAAAATGGAGCTTAATTTTGGTCGCTTACCATCCTGACCTTGTTCGTTTCCACCGAATCTTAGTCGGACTCGTGGCTGCATCACTGTCCGGCGCTTCCATATTCCATACAGGCTCCTAGCAAGATTCTGAAACAGTTGTTTTGCGAGAAGGAAAAAACGGTTGACGACTGGGGTTGCGCTTCCTTCTTAGATGTCCACAAGTGAATGGAGGCACTCGACTTTCTCCATGATCCATGAGTAAGTCACAAAAAATGTAGATCAGAAGCGAAGGCATTGTCGATCGAAGCGCACGATTGGGAAGAGGATGGTAGTGGTGGAAAACGATAACAATGTGGAGACTTCCCCATAAGAAGGACCAGTCACATCCTACCAATTTGAGGGGAAAGGAAACGGCAACCGCAAGCGCCGCCAAGCAATTGGAACCGAAGTATACCAGCAACTATACAGGGTTACGACTATGTGCAAAGGTGCGATGCTACTCCATATCAACTAACATGCCTACATATTTCAATAACTCGACCGAGCACTTAAATAAAGCCTCAGAATGCTCGAACCGCCTCTTGCTTACAGTCCATAATTGCTCCGCTAAGTACGCACACTTGGAAGAATGGGTCAAAGTAAGGAAGTCATCATCATTGGAGCTGGCATTTCCGGCTTGGGAATGGCCATCCAGCTGAAACGACTATTGGGTCATGATAACTTCACAATCTACGAGAAATCCGACAATATTGGCGGAACATGGTGGCACAATCGCTACCCTGGATGTGCCTGCGATATCCCTAGCCATTTTTATTCTTACAGCTTTGCACTAAAACATGATTGGACTACGATGTTTCCTGGTCGTGATGAGCTCCATCAGTGTAAGTACCCCAATATTCGTCAGACTGCAGGTCACATGGTTGATGGTGGCTAGACTTCTTCTCTGTTGCCGAAAAGTACGACATACTACCTCACTGTCGGTTCAACGTCATGTGTGTCAGTCTAGTCTGGGATAATTCACGTTCCCTATGGACCTGTACCTTCCAAGACACGATCTCTGGAGAAATCTTCAAGAAAGAAGCCCCTGTCGTGGTCAGCGCTATTGGGACGCTTGACCGGCCTCACATTCCTAATATCAACGGGTCAGAGTCGTTCGAGGGTGAGGTCTTTCATAGTGCTAGGTGGAACACCTACTTTAGCCCCGGGGGGAAGAAGATTGTGGTCCTTGGTAATGGAGCCTCCGCTACTCAATTTGTTCCCGAGCTAGTCAAGGACGTTGGGCCACAGGGCACGGTAACGCAGTTTGTACGGAGTGCCCACTGGTGGACCAAGCGGGTTAGTCATTTCCTTTCAGTCTGTCATAGATGTATTGGAAGGGCATCACTAAACCATTCACTGCAGGGTAATCCGCAATATTCAGAAGGCTTCAAGCTTGTCCTGAAGCATGTTCCCTTCGCAGCGAAGGCCTACCGTATCATCCTCGCATGGCAACTAGAAAGAGTCTTTTCTTCGTTCTACATGAACAGTAATGGCGCTGCTATGCGCCAAAATATCCGTGATGCTACCTACTCGTTCATTGAAAGCGATGCGCCGCCCCAGTACCACGAAATCCTCAAGCCAAGATACGAGCCTGGATGCAAACGTCGGGTCAATACCGCTTCTTACATGGCTTGTTTACACTCTCCACAGATGCTTCTGACCGTTAATTCTGTGGTGAAGGTAGGACCGGACTACGTGGAGACCAAAAGTGGCGACCGTCATGCAGCCGATGCAATCATCTACGCAACAGGCTTTCAAACTCAGAAGTGGTTATTTCCCATGCAGATTAAAGGAATTAATGGTAAGGATTTACACCAAGTCTGGGATGCTGCCAGCGGCGCCGAGGCGTACAAAGGCACCGTGGTGAGCGGGTTTCCCAATTTCTTTATCCTGTACGGTCCGAATGCCGCAACTGGTCAACACTCTGTTATTTTCCACTCGGAATGTCAAATTAACTACTCGTGTCGTCTTCTTCGGCCAGTTCTAAAGGGCAAGGCCGACTCGATTATGGTCAAACCTGAAGCGCAACAACGAGACTTATCTTGGGTCCATGACAAGTTGAAGCATCTTGTGTTCAACAGCGGCTGCCAGAGCTGGTGGATGGATCCAGTCACCAGGAAGAATACCTTCATTTACCCTGACCCTATGTACAAGTATTGGCTTCGTACGATTTTTCCATCCTGGTCTGACTTCGATTTACTGAAGGACGGGAGGAGGCGCAGCAGCTGTGGCCAGATGCTCTCCATGGGGGTGCTTTTAATGGGTCTGGCAGCTGTTACTATCACTAATTCTACAGATATCCAAACGCTGATAGAGAAGGCCTCTAGCTGGTTGCTGGTCAATGTTCATTGGTCTTAACCGCAAGCTGTGAGGGTTTATGGCATCTCAGGATCCTCTGTCTGTCTTGCATCAATTGATCCCACCTTGTATCTAGTGGTAGCCATTTAATGATCATATAATTGTGGATTATCACGTTTGCTCTTATTTTTGGTCTCATATCTTTCCAATAGTTGTGTGGGCTGTGGGAATGGCACTTCTGCATGCGACAGTGTAGCTAGCAGCGGATCAAAATCTCCAATTATTAAGTTTCTCGTTACAATACTCATGCCGGGTTGAAGTATCCGGGTCACTGAAGAGATTGGTGGCAGAATTCGTAATCTCAAGTCTACTGGTCTTATAGAAGACTATACAGAAGACCGGTGATGCTAGATGTCTTGACTATATTCCGCGACTGTGCAACTAGTTCAACTATAGATGGATCGTAGCATGATCAACCTTTCAGCCGTCTGTATTTGAAGTCCAACAGAAGGCTGTGCCTTTGACTTGGACCCTTTGCTAGGTATTGTAAGATGCGATGGAATGCATTTCTGTTCTCGGTTAGATGAGAAGTAGACCATTAAGTCAAAGATGTATAGCAGATACTTCAAGACAATGATGATTCAGAAAAAGAATGAGATTGACTCTTTCTCTCTGGTATCAACACATCTAAATGTAGCCTTGAAGTATGTCCGCTCTTTTTATGCACTTAAGAGTTCAAAGGCGGAGAGGGGCCTGGCGAGAAAAGCATCTTTTTGATAGTCAATCAATCCTTTGCTCAATTTCTTACCTTACTATAATAAATGCCGATATTTCTATAAGTAAATCCATAGATTAAGCTGAGTAATATCTCATTGTCAAGCGAAGGATTACTTAAATCTTGAAGATCGAGATGGAGCCTGCCTCTGAAAAGCATATGTCAACGGACACTGATTATGCATAGGATTGAGGATATCTAGTGTGAATGAACCTCTGAGACAGAAGAAAATCAATTAAAACTAAGATGCAGGAGCATATTCCATTCAATTAAGCAGTTCCAGCACATGTATTCCCACCTAATTAAGATCCTCTGCTCCAGAAAAACAACACCATTTAGAACCGTGTTTCTTGCCCTTGTGTTTCTTGCAATTCTGATTGTCGCTACTCTGACCCATACTATTAATGCTCACAACCCCATCGCCCATGTGGCTCTGGTGTGGATTATATCGATCTGTTGTATTACAGGTTATGCTATTCTGAGGTGGGATATTCTGATTAATAGCACGATATCTCATTGTATTCTGGCGGTTGAGACCGACGTTCATGCTATCACGATGAATGCTATGGTGACTTTCGGCATTCTGAACCATCGGATGCGTATCTAGGCTGTAGTACTGTATAAAATCCGGAGTTAGCCCATCTAGGCTTATTTTATCTGGAGTCGTGGCATTATGGTCAGCAATACGTGAGGTGATTTCATCGATATTGATATCTTCAATGCTTATGCCATCTGAACTCATGCCGCTCTGGTGTGTAATGTGCTGGCTCGTATCGTTCTGGCTTTCACTATTGTAGTGGTCAATACCCAGGCCCATGCCATCCTGACCTCTGGCATTATGATACATGTTAGGCCCGTTGTCCAGTAATTCTCGCGTCTCTAACCATCTTTCTCGCAGATCCGTATCACAGACATCATTTTCCTTGAGATATTCGATTGCTTCTCGAAGCCAATGGTAACAACTCGAAGGCCTTTCTTTCGGATCCTCTTTGAAAGTGCGAAGAAAGCCCAGCAAACAATCAACATCACCAACATGCCCAATACCAAATTTCTCAAAAGACTCATCTTCATCCTGGAGGACAACCAATTGCTCTCGGATTGGGTGGTACTGGTTAAAATAGCCGGGAGCTTGTGCTGGAAGAGAAAGGTGCTCGTCCAGCTCCGATTCGATTCCACAGCAAGCGTGAAAGCGCCTTACGCCTTGTAGCCTGAAGCTGGCTTCAACAATGAGTGTCCAGTGGAATCTATAAGTTGAATATGTGACACTTAGCAGATTATGGAAAGAGAGGGGTGGGCTACTGTACCTTTGGCTTAGATCTTTTGCTGGATCATCTGAAATGCGGCAGGTGCCTATAAACAGCCTGTGCATAGTTGAAGCCCCCATTGTACCTTGGAACACTGGGAAAGCTGTCTTACACCTCTTGATCTGGATCTGCTAACAATGATAATTTATCGGCTTCAGGGGAATACAAATATGTAATCAGGACTTTGCTGGTTATGAAAATCCACCGTTAATTATTACCGAAGGCACCTACTTATATAATTTAGAAAGGAAAGGCATCCCCTTGCCTTAAACGAGAAAATCTCATTTACAGCATCGAATTTTTTGTGGTACTCATGTGATATCTTTATTAATGCCGGTACATGGTTATGTATGCGTTTTATCCGTCATTACAAAAGCAAAATGGCCGACTTCATTTAGGTGGAATGCTGTCCAAAGGGATAAACATTTCTCTTGATAGAAAGGAGGGCTTAACAAGGAAACCTGCATTGATAGTGGTTTTGACACATAGAATCAAGCTCGGAGTATGAATGCGTGCAGTGGGTTTATGCAAAGGTATCATTTCTCGGATTTATGAGACAATGGTTCTTTAGCAGGGCAAGGTATCACTCTTTCATATTGTATATGTAACTAGAGAGTGCTTTATCTGAGATGAAGGAGTTCCATGATTTTGTTACAGCCCTCAAATCTCATTGTCATTCGTATCAAAGGGAGCCGAACGTGCCATTTTTATCCTTGAGACCGATATAGATGCAGACTAAAGACTGCTCATTTCCTAGGAAGCGTTTCGTCTCAGCAAGTAATGTCCAGGATGATCTTGGGTATTTTTTTTTTTTTTATAATAGAAGGACAGGGATAAATTCTCGGTTGGATGAGTGAAACTTCACATATCTAGGTAGGTACATCATACGTAGTGATATAGGAAAGGAGAGGGATTAAAGACACGCACAGCAGCTGCCATTGCTATTATTCCTCACAGTTTAGCCTCTGATCCTGGCTTACTATTACCTAGTAGTAATCTATTCCCAATGTGTAGTAAGTACTAATTTATTGATAAATTACTTATTATGAACAGCCTTTATTATTCCAAAGGAGCTAGTGGAAATGTACTGTTATTTCTTTAGTCTGTACTTTTTCTTGCCCTGCTCACTATCATGCCTCTCAAATAAGCCTACCTATGTGCATATTGCTGCCCAAAGTCCAAGCCATACTTATAATGATCACGCCCAGTTGGTGGTCGATACAGAAAGCACACGCATTCCCTGTCACTGGGTGTACCACCGTACCTTATGCACATAGGCTTGTCACGCATGATCACTTCTAATTTGGTCATTGTTCCGTTCTAGAGAAAACCATCATTATGATTGATTCTCGGGCGAATATCACTTGTTGATCTGATGTGCTGTAGAAGAGCATCGTTAATGTCGCAGATCTGCCAGGTGTTGTCGTCCGGCACGAATTCCGTTCCACCGAGAACATGAGGGATATTATCACTGGTCTTGAGTAATCTGGGGAAGGCAGGCTCTCCTCTCTTTGTACAGTTGTTCGGGAAAAATCATAAATGCACTTATGATACCGGCAATTCAATACTCGCCTATTTTAGATTGCTTATAACGGAATTCGATCACGCACTCCTTCATGTTAAATATCCGCATGCTATCCTCAGTAGGGCCTCTTTACGTGTGTGAGGTCATTAATGAAGTATAGAAGTGCCCCCATGCTCCCTTTGTTCTCACAATGAGTGAGATAGTACTTCAAACGAACTAAACGGGACTCATACTCCGAGAGCAGTCCAAGTGGCAAAATTTGGAAAGCAATCGGAGGTTGATGATTCTTCCTTGTCGCTTTGTTTGATGTAGCGATGCTGTACCAAGGATTCCCAGTCATTGTATGGCATAAATTCTCAAAGCGTCCCTTTCTGTGTTTTCTATATTGCCAGTATCCTATCCACGGTTTACATGGCTTAAAAGGCCTCGATTAGCAAAGCGTGTCTCTTTAGCTTATCTTACAACTGAGGATATTGGTGTAGAAGTAGATAGGTTTCGGTCATATCCCTTCCGTGAGCAGTTCTGGCTGAAGGCACTTCGACCCAACAGTAAGAGGCTGCTCAACTGCAACACCTTGATGGTCAGGATACATTCATAACTCAATCTGGTAGGTCATAATGCTCTAGCAATTCGATTTCCGTATCGAGCCCATGGTAGACGGGAGGAGGTCAGATATTGCCAGAAATATATCTTCCACCACTATAAAGAGCTACCTGGAGCATCACTTGACGAAGATATTTGGGAGTCTGTTCCTAAGAAAGACGATCCATCGAACCTTACATATGAACCCGGTAATAGCCTCTACGCTTTATTGATATGTATACGGTTATTAACTTGAATAACCAGATATTAATGACCGTGATAGGGAGGACTTCATGTTTTTTTGGGGCAGGATACCTCTATCGCTGGATCCACGTATCAAGAATATTTTGTCCAGAAGAACGACTGGCCCAGCAGATAGCCCTGACCCGTGGTCAATTGGGCTACGCGAACGGTCCCTTCCTGGATGCTTTCGAAGAAGATCCTGAATTTGATTGCTACCTTGATTATGGTGATAGCGGAATAAGCAGCAGGGTCTTCTTGTCGGATGAGCATTGGATTACGCCAAACCTGGCATGGATAGAGAACTTTAAAACATCCTGGAATTCTACATTACGCACGTGAGGATATATATTCTGGGGTAAAGATCGGTTAGAGGAATGGAATATTGGCCCGCAGACTGTGAAAGAGAAGGTCAAGGGCAGTTGGAAATTCCTACGCAATAGGTTAGCTTTGGAGGAGTGATTTAAAACTGATCCATCCAACTGCCAATCTTGAAACCCATGTTGACATCAGGACTATGGCAGCCAGGTTTATCGCTGTTATTTCCACTATAAATTAGTAGGAATCTGGTTTTCTTCTCCGTTGCGGAGAACTCTACATACAACCAGGACCGCGAAGTCCTCTGGTGTCCGTAGACGTAGTCCGATCTTCCATCGTACACGATTCATATCCTGAGTAACCCTGATGCAAAAGCTGACTTCACGAATATTGATGATCTAGCCAGCTTCCTGGTCAAAACCATAGATCATCCGGAAGTCTCGGAGAACATGGAGCTGAATTTCATTAGTGGCCATATCAGCCATAACGAGATTGCGGCCCTATTAGAAAACTGCTCCCGCAGGAAGGTGGAGAAAATTATAATGCCAATGGAGGTTATGCGTCATGTTTGGAAGAACAAGGAAGAAATCCCGGAGGATCTGAAAGGAAAGAGTGTGGTTCCGGATGACTTCTGGCTCTTGGTGAAAGGGATGCAAGGATTAGGCAGATTCTGGAGGCCACCGGGGCAAGTACATAATGATTTGTTTACGAATGTGAAGACGATGACTTTTGAGCGGTGTCTCGAGAATACTTTTGGCTCTCAATAGTTTGTCAGCTGTTGGCATTCTCTCCGAAAGAATGTACGTGTAGTCAAGCTGGGGATGTTGTGGACTGTAAGTTCAGGTTGCTCCGCAAGTTTACCCCGGCGCTATCCCGTTTCCGACACGGGGACTGCCCCATTCGGAGAGGAATCTGGAGTACTTTCAGTATAATAAAACATCTTATCCTTAGGCAAAAACCATGCTGAGTAGCCGTTCGGTCTCCTGTTTCTCCGGAAGGGATGTAGCATGGTTCGATCTGCGGGGGGATTATATTGTGCAGATGAGATGATTTCCCCCGCTTGTGGGGTTATATAACTACCGTGCATATCTCTGCAGAGCATATGCAATCCAGTTCCCATTAAACCTTTCTGGCACCAATTCCGCAGACAATTGGAGTCCAATGCAGCGTTACGTTTCTTTAGCCGTGCCGCTGTCTTTGCTTTCCGGGGCTAATGCTCTGGTACGCCCTGATGGTGTGGTACGTTATAACTTTGCTTCGGGGCTAGCAGTAACTGATGTGATACATAGGGGAGACTACCCGCGTTGGGCTGGAACACCTGGAATGCTTTTGGATGTGACATCGATGCTTCCAAGATCCTGACAGCTGCAGAAGAAACAATAAACCTGGGCTTAAAGGATGCGGGTTATGAGTACATCAATAGTGGGTCAACCGAAACCTGTCATATGTATACTAACCCCTATAGTCGATGATTGCTGGTCCGTCAAGAGTGGCCGGGATCCCACTACCAAACGTATCATTCCGGACTCGGCCAAGTTTCCGGATGGAATCTCAGGTGTCGCTTCCAAAATTCACGACTTGGGTCTGAAGGTCGGCATTTATAGCAGTAAGTTAACTGGATACTACTATCAAATTGGAATGAGGCTAAGAGGATAGGTGCCGGTACGGAAACCTGCGCTGGCTATCCTGCTAGTCTGGGATATGAGAAAATAGACGCTGAGAGCTTTGCCGAATGGGGCATTGACTGTATGAAAGTTTGCCACTGCCCCAACCATCAAAAGACTAACTCAAGTGATAAGATCTGAAATACGATAATTGCGGCGTACCTACTAATTGGACCGATACATATACCCACTGTGTACCAGACAACACTAATGGCTCCAAGTTCCCCAACGGCACTTGTCCGGATATATCTAATCCAGCACCAACGGAATACGACTGGAGCAGTTCGAAAACTGCTCAAAGGTACGAAGCTATGCGCGATGCATTACTGAGTGTCAATCGGACCATTCTCTATTCGTTGTGCGACTGGGGCCAGGCAGACGTGAACCAATGGGGTAATGCGACAGGGAACTCTTGGAGGACAACGGGTGATATTACACGTAGGTTGAAACTATCTGCGACCTAGGAAGCGCATGTCTGACTCGAACAGCCGACTGGAGCCGGATTATCGAGATTGCCAACGAGAACTCGTTCCTTATGAACTATGCCGATTTCTGGGGATATCCAGATCCTGACATGTTGGAAGTTGGCAATGGAAACCTGACTCTCGAAGAGAATAGAGCCCACTTTGCTCTCTGGGCCGCAATGAAATCGCCTCTTATCATTGGTACTCCTGTACGTTTTCAATAGCTCGGTAAAAGAGGTCAGGCTAACTGAAGTAGCTTGATTCGATCAAAGAGGAGCATCTTGCCATTCTGAAAAACAAGCCCTTGCTGTCTTTCCATCAAGATCCGGTAGTTGGTCGCCCTGCGTATCCTTATAAATGGGGATACAACCCAGACTGGACATTTGATCCAGCGCATCCAGCGGAATATTGGTCCGGGCCATCGTCGACTCTAGGCGGAACTCTGGTTTTGATGTTCAACTCGGAAGACAGCGCCAAAAGCCGGACTGCTGTGTGGGCCGAGATCCCTGAACTGAGGGACTCCGCTGAGAAGGGCAGCGGGTATCGGGTAACTGACATTTGGACGGGTGAAGATCTGGGTTGTGTGAAGGACCAATATCGCGTGGAGTTGCAGAGTCATGATATTGCTGCTCTGGTGGTGGGAGAATCCTGCTGATCGCTGGTGAAGCGGTTCTCGCAAGCCACGGCTAGATGTATGCAACGTGCTGGTTGTGATGAGCCAAGGGTTGCAGGGGCCACTCCAAATATTGTGTCATGAACTTCTAAACAAGGTGAAGGAGTAGTGAAAGGAAGGTCCAAGACATGACAAATCATAGCGGCAGTCTATGCATAGTACGTAACTTTATGGCTGTGCTTATGTAGATACGGCTGAAATGTACTGAAGAAAGGTTATATTAAAGAATGATTAACTACTGAAAAATTAAGTAGCTTGCTCACCTCAGTAGATTGCTCCTGAGTATTGGTTACCTTTGTCGAAATAGACGTTCAAATTTCAGCCGATCCCTCGCTCTTTGCCGTTTCTCACAGCAAGTAAGTCGATCTTGGGAAACCATAATCTCAGTACAACCCGGATGCCTTCTATCGATATAAGAGACCAAACAGATCGCATCCGCAGGTGGATCTATACCTTCCGAGAAAGCCGAAATTGGAAAATCGTATTCCATATGAAAAACATATGATAAGGACACTCATATACAGGACAAGACGAAAGAGCAAGGGCAATCAATGCGTATAATACAGGAAAGTATGAAAAGGCAGAAGCAAGTATTCAGTGAGAGGGGGAGAAAACGAAAACATCCCTATCATAAAGAAAACATGTGACTGGGTCACGCACCCGCCCACCCGAATAGAATGGTAAGTGATCCATGAAACTCTCTAGTGCTCAGAGGATGATAGATGTTTCTGTTGGGCTTTAAAAAAAATCATTAGTACGCTTATCAACAACCCGAGTACATAGGCTATGTCATACAGATCGGGCACGCTCATTATCAAGTTGCAAGAAAAGCCAGGACACAGAAAATGTGAGAGAATGCTACCACGCTGAATGCCTGCACCAGGGTATAGACTCATTAAAACATTGTCCCATATTCCATCACACAGTCTCGCGATCAAAATAGTTGAAGGAAGAAGATTTCATAACTCGATCACCGCCACAAATCACCTCTGCTCTCACGCCTCCAGCCCCCACTACTCTTAGGACGCCCATCATCCACTGGAACAGCCAGGAACCCGCCGAAGCCATTACCGACCAGCACACTCTTCCGTGCATCGCCACCCCAGGAACGGCTCAATTGAGCATCGTGGAAACTTACAGGCCGTGTCGTACTATCCCGGCGGCCTCTTGTGGAAGGTGGTTCATAAGGAGTGAAGTTCCACTCCAACTCATCCAAGCCCTTGCTGTACACGTTCAGCGGCTGTGCGAGAATGCCTCCCCCAAATTGGGGTCCACTCTCACCACCACCGAACAAGCGAGGTGGAGGGGCAAGCAATAATGCCTCTGGAAATCCTGCATCACGGACATAGAGGTCTCGAAGAGCAGGAAGAGAGTTGGACATCAAGGATGAAATTAGGTAAGAGTAATACGAGCTTGCCACCGGCGGCATACCGTAAGAGCCGGCTGGAGAGAATATCTCGTAATGTAACAATTCGAGTGACCGAGAGGTGAGCGGTGGCACCTTTTCCGGAGGGAACGATCGCGAGACTTCCTGGATTACCGATAGCGCACGGAGCTCTGGTGCGTCAGAGAGAATGTGGTGTAGAGCCGATGGGTGAACTTGGGTAGCTGACAGCGTCAATGATTGCAAAGAGGCTCGGTTTTCAGGCAAGGAGAAAAATGCGGCAAGCCCGCTTGCTGTGACATTCGGAGTATCTCGAAGGGTAAGTCGCTCGACGGCCGGGAACGGGGGGAAGTTTTGGGAGTGTGCGAAGGCGGAATCATCGAGCCAGGGAAGTTCGTCCAATGTTAAGTCACGAAGCCTGGGAAATGCGCCCAGGCCGAACCGGAGAATATGAGGCTCGACTTGTAGGCCTGATAATTCCAGTATTTCAAGATTTCCCCAAAGGTGTGTGCCAGGCAACTGCGAAAAGGTACCCTCCGACCCATGGCGGTAACTCATCCGACGAAGATCTGGACAACGAGCCATGATTTCCTGCTTCAGAGCGAGGCACGCGGGGTCGTCACTGAAGAAGCCAGCGGGCAAATCCACGTAGCGGAGATTGGGCAACACGGAAACAGTTCGTGCAATCTCCGATTTGCTCGCCTCGCGAGTCATATACGGCATGCGCAACGAGCGGACCATACTCCCTAGGCCATGTGATTGTCGAACGGTTCGCATGAAGAGCGATAGGCGAGCTTGGGGGGCATCTTCGGGGTCGCCATTCTTATCGAAGAAGGAGCGGCGTTTTCGTTTGGCTGATAACTGAACCTCGAGTTCACAGTAGTGAACGGCGTCGATGCGGACATTGGAGTAACTAGTGATTGGGGATAGGAGATCAGCGAGGGCAAAAGGGAAAAAAAAAATAAGTCGAAGATGCAATGCCTACAGCAGAGCGTCCGCGTCAATGGACCACCGCTTGCACACCAAAGCGCAGTGCGCGAGGTCGCGCATGTCACAAAGCATACAGCCATCCTCGGTCATGGATTCCTCCGACGTATCATAGCTGTTATCTTCGGTGTGGGGACAAACGAAGGAGAAAATGCGGATTAAGACACGTCGTGGTAACCTCTTCGTGTAATCTGTGCCCATGATGGGCAACGGAGGAACAACCTCGCGGTTAGTGCGGAGATGCTCATAGCTGACCGCATTCCCCGCACGGCTCTGACTTTTCGAACGCTTGCGAAAACGGCTTAGAAATCCCATGATGAGATCGTGACCGACAAATGCATTGATGAAACACGAAATGTTCGAATTAAAACGAGAAAGAAGGGAATCGGGTCGGAGGGAGGTGGTTTGCAGTCAGAGAAATATTAAGATGGCAAGAATAAGGCTAAGCGAAGGAGAAGGAGGAGGAAGATGCGTGAGAAATGAACGGAGAAGCAGGTTGCAAAGTGGGGAAGGGGAACCTCCACCAGATTTATTTATTTAATATGGGAAAAGAGATAGTGTAGGTGAATTAAATCAGCATCGGGAAGTGCCGTCGAATTATCTTTTTCCACACACTCTCTATTTTGCGCCCGGGGGGTTCCCTAATTGAGAAATCTGGCGGTTGCTGCTTTGCCCATCGGGCTCGCTCCTTTATTCTATTTGTTCACCGTTCACTCCCATTTGCTCTTGGAAGGTGTTGATCCCTGCAGCTGAGGGTCAATCATTTCAGCCTTCCAAGAAACTAGTTCCGCCCGACAGGTGCATGATTAGTACTGTACTCCGTAACCGATGCGCCGTGCTTTATTTTTATCAGCCATCCAGAAGCGAGATAACGAGGAATGGTGGTTGACCGTTGCTCAGCCTGGGGCTGGAGAATACTTGCCAAGACAGGGGAAGAGAAGGTCGATCGTTGTTTCAGGAGAGCGGTTAGAATCTCTGGTGGTTGGATGAAACAAGTGGGGCCATAATTGAAGGGTCACCGATGCTTCAACGCCTCCGCGGCTAATCCTCTTTCAGTGAAAGTGACTGTCAGATTGTGTTGGACAGACTTTCTTAGTTCTTACCACACTTGCACGACTCTTCTTTATATCGTATCGCAGTCGGGATCATTGACTACTACCGCCCCCAATGTAACAAAGAATCGGAGATTACAGGAATGATTTCCGCGGGATTTCTCACGACCGGCCTTTGCAAGTATCACATGTTAGACGCGGTCCCTAGCAGAGTAGCACGTGGAACCTAAAGCGGACTGCGCTTACACCGGCGAAAAAGAATGATCAATATTTATATTGAGTAGCTGCGGATCCTGTCGTACACATAGATGGACCACTACTTCTCCTATTGACGCTTGAGGTTCTAAGGCGCTTTGTCAATCAGTAACTATCCTCATTTAGTCTTGAACGACCAGACATTCTTCCCACTTAGAAGCGGTTGTATCCGCATCATCATCGTCCAAATGCTCGTCATTGTATTTTATTTCATTGGCAGCGCAGCTTGTCAATTTCCAAACGTCCTCAACCTTGCGGTATAAATCCTGGTATAATTACCGGTATTGTTGGAACTATTATGCTTGAATGTGGCTGGTACATACCCTGCAATCTTCCGTGCTGCAGTCTTTATCTTTTAGGGTTTCTGCAGCAGCGAGGGTGTCCGCAAACGTCCTCGAGGAAAACGCCAACCTTGTCAGCCATGGTGGGCCGAGAATGTCAGAGGAAAGGTTGTTTGGAGGGGAAAATCAAGTTGGGGCAAGAGATGCTTATAAATTGAGACGTAAATAGCACAGCCAGATTCAGCTGATCTTCTGCCGCAGATGACGAGAACCCAATTTCCCCGCTACTAATTTATCTATTACTTATAAATTTCTGGGCTGAGTGCTCCATTTACAGATGTAGTTCAAGTTGGCTCAACAGGTGTCCGGGGCTTATGTCCAATTCCAGTACCGTATGTTCTCTTTCGACTGGTTCATTTTCTATTGAACCTTTGCCGATTGGGCTTAATTTCAAACGACGATCTCAACCATACGACACATTATATAGATGTAATGGATATGGAGTATGTACTGCTAGTGTGGCAATGTGTGGCTGAAATTTGTAATGTATAGTGCATCAGTCAGGTCTTCAATAGACCACATCGAATGGCATCAGTAGGATTGAATCTACTCTATCACCAGGCTTTGGTACCACATTTGTTGGGCAGTAATGCTTGGCTGTACCGGGGATTCGGGAGCTAGATAACTAAATTCAATGTACCTACCTACCTACCCACCCAGAAGAGAGGACACCAAACTCTTTACTATTTCTACGGAACACCGAAAGAGCCCCACGTCACATCTCGCACATCTGATTATGACCTCACTTACCAATTATACCTCGTATTTCGCTCCGTGAGGTGCTGAGGATAACCAACCTCAGGCTAGAGAATACCAGGACTCCGGTCTAGATGTTGAATGAGACTTTGAAGTAAAACGTTATAGTAGGAGCTGGTTATATCTATCGTGGTATCTTGGTTGAAGGCTGACTGATAAAGAAGATGCCAATGGGTAGGGGTAAACCCCAGATGTACAATTCAAACTACAACTTCAGGCAGTTTCAAGCCGCTTATAGAGACGCTGGAGCTGTAGTACGAATCTATGCAGAGATAGATAAGGGATGTCTAGACAAGGTAACTTGGCTTTCTATAGAGTTACAACATACCAAATTTTGAGGGATTCATTGGGTTACCAGTTTGTTAAACTCAACCAATTGTTCCACGACTCTCAGGGCCGTATGTATGGCAAACAACCACCTGTCATTCTCGAGATCGGTAGCATGGACTAGTCAGAAATGTTCTCACCATTCGGTTACTTCATTAAGTAGCAATGATGTGGCAGTGGCATGCAAGCTTAGCAATGGAAATTGGTAAAGCGTTCGAAACCTTAATTATACTACGCCATGTGGCCTTGTATTGATTGTACTGAGATCGGGTGCGAAAAGATCGTCAGTGGGACTATCAGAACCGCTGAGCCATGGGTAGTCCTATTATAGTAAGTCCGCAGCTACGGACGTATTATAATACGTCATATAGCGACAACCATCTCTGTTTCTGGTAGACCATGTAGTGGCGAGCTGAAAGACGGGTCCTTCTGTGGGCCTTGAGCTCGGCAAAATCGAGATCTCACCTCCGCTAGTGTACCGTACAGAAGGTCCTAAGCGACCTAGGACTCGTTCCCTTTTGTACTCTTTTCTATAACACTTACCAATTGGAGGTCGGGGCACTGAAATAAGTTTATCGCGCTGCGCCTTTTTCTGTCCAAATGCTAGTAACTACTACTGTGGTTGGTTGATAATACATTAAAGTTGCCACAAAATCGTATTAAAGGTTGTTCAGTGGCTGAGAGGAAAGCGGGAACAGTGGCCAGCTGAAGATTATGCTAGCTAGCACTCGTACTCCGTACTCCTATGTGTTATTAACTATACAGTACATCTGGATTCCCCACTGTATCGACGACCACTGGGCTAATTAATAGAGTTTAGGCGAAGACTGGGGGATATACAAATAGCCCTGTTATGCCCCCTAGTGATTGTTCTGATCTGATCAATCCATCCTCTGTTGGTTCTTACTACCTTGCTTTCCTGCAGAGTGAATAGGATATATCAATTCAATATGGCCAGAATCAGCATCGCCCAGGCAGTCCGCTATTGGCTAACCGATGACCTCATCCTCAAGGCTGTCCTGCTAGATAAAGACGGCAATGAGCGTGAATCAGGGCTCCGCTTAGATGACTAGCTCGTGCTGGAAGATGGCTCGGATGGATGGAGTAAGTTGGTCTAGGCGCTTTTGTTTCACTGCTAACCCCATGCGTGCTAGGCTATAAGTTCACGGATTACATGGACCAGCCTGGTGTCGACTATACTCTGAACAGTCGAAAAATATGGATTCACGACAACAGAAAATGGGGCCCGAGGCTCTGCATCAAGTTCGATCTCAGAGATTCATCGGGCCAGTGCGCGGTGGCGCAGGGACTACAAATGTCTAAGTATTTCTGGAACGACAATGGCACGCTACGCTACAATAAAGAGCTGAAGGAGTATGTTCCCTGTTTTTTATCTATTGGATCGTATCCACCAGCTTCAGCCAGTGTATGGTAACAGACATGCTAATGGACGCACGTGTGTGTTTGGAGGGTGGAGGGCGTGCCCTTCCCAGATGAGGCTTAGCAGATGTACTGGGATGATTTCAAATAGGTGAAGAAGGACTACAAGCGTTATGAAGGGGATGACTTAGCGGCAAAGGGCGTTTATAGAGCTTATGGGGATTACGGAGATGAGGATGAATCGGCGTGCCAGGAGATATTGGAAAGTATCAAACGTCGCCTTGACGAGGAGGGTTTGGATGTGTCGGACTTTGAGGAGGAGGATGCTGAGTGGTAGAGTATTAAAGAATAATGTCTCTGGCCGGAAGTTAAAGGATATTTTAGATGTATATGATGATGCTGGTATTTATGAAAAATCATTCTCGAACATCTTCTGCTCAGCCTTTAGACAATAGAATAATCATATATACTATTTAGCAGCGCGTAGAGCTGTTATTGGAGTAGGGTTTGACCCCGTTTTGTACCCAACCCTCCTTTATTAATTAATCCCTGGTCCGGCCAAAACTTAGCTGAATATTCGCAAGTTTCCTACTCATAACTATACTTAAGACTAATGTAGTAGTGTGATTGGAAGGAACCAAGAGTGGTTTCTAATACTGAAATACGAACAAATGAGCTTTTTTAACATCTGGCTATGCTTACTAGATTGAAGAGAATACTCAATATTTTACCCTCGGCTTCAATGCCGGTGTAGTCAACGATTTCTCTCTCTTCTTGCTCCTGTTCAAGCTTAAGATAATCATATGAACCAGTTCTAGCAAGTTGTTATCCTATCGTTCATCCTCATAGCTCACCACGATGGCATACTTCAGCTTAATCTATACATTAGGCGTTTTCGCTTAGCTATTCGCCGAATTCGGTTCTTACATCACCAATTCACTTCAAGATAAGTTTTACTTGTGCAGATTTCCCATCCTGAAGAATTTCTCTCCATGATTTTAGCACTGGCTATTGATGTCGATCTCTAGCGATGACCCACATCGGGTACAGGAGGGACGCATACGATGGCTATCTATGCACCCAGCTCTACATATTTGGCGGCCAAGAGCATAGGTGCGTTTAAGCGAGGAGAAAGCAACATGCAGACCATAGGAGGAAGTTGCCGACTCCACATCATGGAGATCTGATCCATACTTAAGTATATATGGTCTAGGCTGCGTTAGTGACTAGCGGTAGTCTACGGTTCCACATGGCTCCCTTATTATAACTACGACGACAAGGTTGTGAATGAGCAGAATGGAGTCCATTATAGCAGAGCATTGCCATGAGTTAATATATGAATATGTGTTCGAACACTCCGAGGAGCTACTAGGTGACGAGTAGTAGGGCACTCGAGGAAAGTGTCAACCACTACGTACTGCACACTACTAGTATCCAGAAACATTGCAACATATACAATACTGTAGAGGGTGGTGGCACTTTCCTGTTCCCCATCATGCTACTAGCGCGCTTACAGGATATGTTATGACTTAGGGCGACCTAGAAATACTTTCATTACTTGGACCCTAAGACTGGGAGTGCTGACTGTGGGCGGATTAACCTTAATTTCTGGGAATCCATGCCGGAAACAATTCCCTGATCTACAGTGGAGCCTTCCGTGCGGCCCCGGAAACAGTTGAATATTGCCTCGATCTTTGGGGTAGGAAGTCGAGCCGGATGCGAGCTCGGCCATCTCCATAGATGCAGGTCGAGTCACATGGTCACAGCTGCTCCTTCCCCGCCCTTTCTTGTTCTTGGCCATGCTTCTACAGTCTACGCACCTCACTATGACTCCTCCAAAGACCGGGATAACAAGCTGCACTAGGTTGACTGATCATGAGCAGAGACAGGAAGCTGATGAATCCCCAGGCCCTCGCTCAAGGTCTCGCTCATGGAAGAGAGAGACGTGAGAATCCACCATCATGCAGACTGGGACTGAATTGTCTAACTTTCAGCAGGTACTTTGGATCCCTCATCTTCAATCTAGGCGCTTTCGCACTCCCTGCTCTATACAGTACTCTTAGCAAGCTGTGGATTGCAAATATTGACTCTAGTCAAGTTGTCACCACTGATATATACACCTATATTGGCGTTATTGTCGAGGTGCTAAATGATGGCCTCCCAAGGTCGGCATGGCTTATTATAGGAGACAATGCAACCAGGTCTGTATCGTCACGGTTAAGTCTATCATATACCATTATAGTAGTGCAGACTGTGCTAGGCACAATTATGACAGTGATCTTCCTCGCATCATCGAATAGCCTTGCAGCAGCATTTATGCCAGTAGAAGTCCGGCAAACCTCTCTAACGTATGTCCGGATTTCATCTATCGAGGCCTTGTCGTCTGCTTTGGAAACGGCCGTGTCATGCTGCACACGCGCGCTAGATCATCCGGATGTACCGCTATTTATCAGCTCAACCAAGTTTATCGTCAATATTATTCTCGACCTATTAATTCTGTCGAAATTCCATCCTGGTTCTTTTCAGCCAACAGTGAATATGCAAGCATGGATTAGGGTGGCTTGCGACATGAGTTCTGCTCTTTGCGGATTGGGTTATTTTCTCTACCTTAGCTTCAGGCTACAGAGATCACAACCCAGGGTGCAGAGGGTAAAGCCGAGTGTTGAAGCTTTGAAAACTCTTATCCGACCCAGTTCATACACTTTCGCAGAGTCTGCTATTCGCAACGCTATTTACCTCTGGCTGGTCAGTAGAATAGTTCTGCTTGGCGAGAACTACGCAACAGCATGGGGTGTTTTCAACACAATCAGGTGGGGGCTTGTGATGGTTCCCGTCCAGGCCCTGGAGCAATCAACTTTGACCTTCGTTGGACATAACTGGGGAATATGGCGTGACCGTGTTGGCGTGGCGATACGGCATCCCAAGGCCACGAAGTCAGATATTGTCGGTATGTAGCCTTCCTGTACTGAGGACAAGCAACATAAAGCTAATTAATATATGGCTAGAAATTTGTCGCCCAGCATTTACCTCCTGTGGCATTGCACTTGTCTTCGAAGTCATTATATGTATAGCCCTTTCTGTACGTGGGATCCAGGGATTTGCTTACTATCTCTCTGGCTCCACAGCCGTTGCCCAAATAACCCAGCGGATATGGAAGGTAGGCCCTAGGACCAGTTTCATTTCCACGCACTTAATGACCAACTCTTCTAGCAAATTGACTGGACATATATCTTTTACGGTGTCAACTACCAGCTTGCAGCGATTCTCCTTGCAGCCTCACCACGTTGGTACCTCTATCAAGCTCTGGGTTCGAATTTTCTATGGATGCTCCCCTGGGCCATATTCGCGACGGTCATGTCCGTCTCTCAATCTACAGCATGGACCTACTATGCTATTATCTTTGGCGGAGCCCTTGTCTTTGACTTTATAGACGTGAGCATTACACTAGCGATTTGGGCACTCAGGCTAAGTTGGGGTCGAGTGAAAGTAGGTGCTTTACTGCAATAATTGTTACCGTATCCTATGCCAGTCTAAAAACTACTTCACTAAGAAAAGTGGCTGCTCCAAGATATCATGATGCACCTTGTGGTAATTCTCTTCAGAACATATTGCTACTTCTACTGGACATGCGCGATAGCTTGTGGATGTATCCCCCCAAAAGTTCATGGTGGCAATCGACAAATCTAGTTCCCTCACGGGCGAACAGCAGAACAGAAGCCCTCAGTGTGCTACTGGCCCTAGTTCTATACCCTTGTCTACATTTCAACTACGGACAACAACAAGAAGAAGAAGAAGAAGAAAAAGAAGAAGAGAAAGGAACGTAATGATATGTCGCCATGTAGCAACAGCTTCAAGAGATATCCACCAAAATGCAAGACCGGCTGGACACCACATTGGAAGTAGCAAGTAAATGCCAACTACCGCAAGCCGCATGCCAGGGCCACCATTTGCAGGAATATTGAGATTCTTATTGATTACGGGGTTATAACAAGGGCGACGGAACACAGAGCGGACTTCATGGCAGACAAGCTTTCTAGACAGACGGGAGATATATGGGAAAGCTTTGGCGGAAGACACGTTTTGATATAAAGCATTTACCAGATCCTTTTATAATAGTAATTGACAAATTATTGCAATGTATTGACATTCTTTGGTTGGGATATCAGGGTTATGAAGAGCACCATTTTATATGGAACAACTAGAATACAGGATATGTTACAAACAAAATGGTCACTCTGCAGACCGACGAAATATTCTGAGCTAAACCCTTCGGGGCTCTGACATCAATTTCTAAATACCATCTAGACGCCGAACAGCACATAGGCTCCTGAAGAGGCACAGTCGTGGTACATGTCTATTTTTGTATTGACATGTCTTTGAAGAAAGCCCGGTTAAATAAAGCAGAGAGAAAACAATAGTGTAATAATCATTGTGATCTGCAGAGGAATAGTAAAAGCTGGGGCAGCAGACTCAGAGGTAGATGTAGGAGTAGTAGACTCCTTTATCGCTGTCGAGCTGTCGGTGGTTGCGGACGATGTCTCTGTAGAGCTGTCGGTAGTTGTAGAAGATGTCACTGTAGAACTGCCGGTGGCTGCGGAGGCTGTAGCTGTAGAGCTATCGGTGGTAGTGTATAATACCGTTGGAGAGCTGGTTGTGGACGATGTCGTTGTCACAGAGGCAGTAGCCGAGACCGACGAGACAGCCTCCACACAGTAAGTGCGATCATCAGCAAGGCCGGAGCAGTCGGCACCCGGATTCAACGATAAAAATGTAGGACGATCAATATGCCACCTCCTAGTGAAAGCTTCGCAAGTTTCTCCAAGGTATGAGGCGGCCACTGAGAACTGGCAGGCAGGGCTTTCGCGTGGATGTAGCTCGTGAGCTGAGAGCAGTTGGAGGAATAATCCCACGATCAGAAATAGCTGAGGACCCATTTTGATATGAATTCTTTTTTGGGAATTGGTAGTAAAAGAGGGGGGATAATAAAGGTATCAACGTTGTGGATTCTTTAACCACCAACTACCGAGGGGTATGGGTCTTAATATATGGGTAGATGCATTGATACCCCTGAGGGTAAGGCTGATTTGGATAATTTTTTTAAACCACAACAGAATAAAAAGCGGGGTTAATATTGCGAGAAATCAAGGCGATTGGAAAGGTTTTAGCTTGATGTGGAGTAGTGTTAATTAGTCTATGTAACCATGTAAAGTAGCGTAGCGCGTGTACTTATAGAGGTCAAGATTTATTCAAGAATAAATACATGGAGTGAGTGAAGTCAACATTGCTGTTTATGCTGCTTGTTAGTTGTGCTCTGGAGGGTGTTATAGGTGCCTGAAACCTAAATCTTTCTTTTCTTTATCTTTTAATTTTTTACATCAATCTGCCCAAGATTTGTACATTGAATCTCATGATTTCCCCTTCTTAGGGTTACCCGAATCATCCAAAAGCTCGCTACTATCATCCAACTCGGACCATTTCGGCTTTCCATCTGGGATCTCGACAGCCCGTCGGCTGTAGAAAATATGGCACCTGCAAACATGGTTAACATATGGCATTCCAGATTCAAACAAGGAATATTGAAGACTAACTCTACTTCAAATGCATTAATCCACTTCTCTCTCTCCTCATGTGTCTCCCCATAGTCAATAGACGCAGGGAATAGAAGACAAACATTACGTCCCTCATCCATGATCGGAGTCCGACAGAACGAACACGACACCTTTGTCGGGTTCATATACTCTCTCGATTTCTCCGTAGATGAATAGAAGGCCAGGCCATCAGCACCTTTGGTGAACGTTATGTCGGACTTGTGAAATATAGTGGCCCACTGGAATGGTGCACCTATTTTTCCTTGTTAGTATTTTTCCTCGAATGCCCCAGATACGTCGCAGACGAAGAATGAAGCACTCTTATTCTTTTAAAATCACGTACCATGCAATACTTGGCACCCCCGACAATGGCAGTACTTCGATTTCAATGGCTTCTCTCGATTTATTTTGTACTCTACCTGTCCACATTGGCACCTTCCGGTCCATTTAACGGGGCCGAATTCTTCGTCTGTTTGGATCTTGTATGGCGGGCGATGCTTCCAGCTTGCTTCGTCGGTAGTGCCGGAGATGGGGTTGGGAAAGGGATCGCCCCCCGTTGGCACATCTTCCGCCATTCTTGGGGCTATATAACTAAATTTGCGATAGATTGAGACAGACTGATTGGTGATACTAGAGGGAGAGCTCCAATATCTTTGCTGGCCGGCGCGAATGATAGATGTCACGAAAGGCCGGCGGGTTGCGGGAATACAAGCTGCAGGTGGCTTAAACAACATAGAATCAGGCGAGAACTCAGGAATATACACAATTATATTCGCTCACACCAATGCCCATATATATATCTTGCTCGAATCTAGAAGGGTCGGGATAGTTATTAGTTGTGTACGCCACCAAAAAGCCGGGAATCGCAGATGATGTCATTGCGATGTAAATGCGATTTATGATGCTCTTGTGCCATGGCCGTCGTCATCTGAGGCTCTGGAGATTCAAAAGCCAAGAAACAGTTTATCGTATTCCTTGGGTTTACAGTTTTAGCTCCTGTTAGGTTGTGGTTTGCACAACAGTCGTCAGCTGTAAGCTGGCCTTAGCAGATTGTATGTACATATGGGTGACAATTAGTGAAAACCATTCAAGATACCACCACTTATGCCCAAACTCGATTGATTGAAATGTGTTTTAGTTATAGTTTGTATCAATTTTATGATTGTTGCTTGGTGTTGAGAGTCAATGCGAGATGATTAGTTCATTGCGATTTACTTGGGAGGGAGGGTTTAAGTCATGGATAGGGCTAAACTTGGCGGTTTGCGGGTGACGATAACCATACCAGGTCAGCGCAATATGTATACGGCACGTACAGCCACATTTTTCCTTTTCATTAGCATTCACGATATAACGCATTTTGACCCACCATAATTATTCCTGCCCATGCCCTATTTGATAAGTATCCGACCTCCCCTAGCAACATCGTGTCAAACGGTCAGCACAAACCCCTGCATATGGTGGCCCAATGACGCCGGGCTCTAAGCGCCCGAGTGCACGACGCCCAATTAGGGATGCAGATATAACCACAACTAGTTTAGAAGCGCCTCACTAGCACGCCCCTCCAAAGGCAATGGGGGCTATTATGAAAGGCACCGAGGATCCCTCTGAATCTAAAAATACGAAAGCCCCCGGTCGTGGAGTGGTATCCTTAGAAATACTGTTATACCATCTCTGCCTTAAGTTTGCCCTGAAAAGTGCGATAGAGAAAGGCAGTTCCTAATTTCACGCCATGCGTTTGCTAAATACGAAGCCATCCGATACGGGCAACTTCATCATTGAGGAATTCTTTGGCGAACCCCCGCAATATGCTATTCTCTCGCATACATGGCAGGAGATGGAGGTCACATTTCAGGATATAACAACTGGCGTGATTGATAAAAAAGGGTTCAAAAAGGTTAAAGATTGTTGTACTTTCGCTAGGGCCAACGGATATGAATACGCCTGGATAGATACGTGTTGCATTGATAAGACAAGCAGTGCGGAGCTGTCTGAGTCACTCAATTCTATGTATCGTTGGTACCAGGAAGCCGACGTATGCTATGCATATCTTGCAGATGTGCCATCAGAGCCTTTCGCCAAGAGTAGATGGTTCAAGCGAGGATGGACTCTTCAGGAACTAATTGCTCCGTCGACGGTTATCTTTCTCGACCATGAATGGAAGGAGTTGGGGACTAGAGAGAGCCTACGAGATGATTTGTCGGAGATCACTAGTATACCTGTCGGTATCTTGGTGGGGGATGATGATGTTGAAACTGCTAGTGTTGCTCAAAGGATGTCGTGGGCTGCGAGAAGGGAGACAACAAGGATCGAAGATCGAGCATATTGCCTCATGGGTATATTCGGAATCAACATGCCGCCGATTTATGGTGAAGGCAAGAATGCCTTCATTAGACTCCAGGAAGAGATCATGAAAATATTGGATGACCACAGCATATTTGCTTGGAGATCGGACTCTGAAGAGGAGAATCATGGTGGGTTGCTGGCAACATCGCCAGATGCATTCAGAGAATCTGCAAATGTTGTTCCTTATAATCCTTTCACGACGATTGAAGGACCGTTAACTGTGAGCAGCAAGGGGATATCTTTGGAACTTCGGTTTATAGGTGTAGGACACCCAGGGCTAGGGCTTGCTATCCTGCATTGTACGGAGGGAAAGAGTGAGGAGAATCAGTTGATTGCAATATACCTGCAAGATTCGTTCCTGACAATGCAACGATTTGAAAGGAAGCAATGCGGAAAATTTCAGTTAATTAACCTTGGCGATCTTAAGTCATCACAATCTCCCTTGAGAAGATTATGCGTCCAACAACGACGTCCCGTGAGTCGAAAGATAAACAAAGCAAGAAAACGTAAAGAGACTGGGTTTGCTCTAGATAGTCTCCATCTACTAATACCACACAATCCACTGGAGGCTTGTCGCGATGCGGAGACAAACTGGATCAACACAAATGGAATAAGCGGGAATGGACAGACGCTTCTATCTCACGCCGCAGGAAGAGGGCATTTGGACATGCTATGGCTGCTGCTAACCCGAAGTGATGTCAGTGCCGGTGGAAGGGATCTCAGTGGCCGCACACCACTATCACGCGCAGCAGAATGTGGACAGGAAGCTATTGTGAGGTTGTTATTATGTCGCAATGATGTTGATCCCGACTATGAGGATAAGGACGGACGATCTCCCCTTTCATACGCTGCAGCCTCAGGTCACCTGTCCATCGTCAAACTATTGCTCCAGTCTGGCAAAGTCTATGCCGAGTCAGAGGATAATCGCAGTCGAACCCCTCTGTCACGGGCTGCAGAGGGCGGGCATGAAGTAGTGCTTGATTTGCTGCTAGAGAAGGGGGCTAGACTGGATTCTAAGGATGAACAAAGACGAACACCACTTTCCTGGGCAGCCGCAGAGAATACCCATGGGGCTGCGTTAGCATTATTACTTGAGCGGGGAGCTGCCATAGAGTCTAGGGATAAATTTGGTCGAACACCCTTGACCTGGGCCGCATTGAAAGGGCGCGAGGAAGCAGTGGGTGTTTTACTTCAGAAGGGGGCTGATATAGAGTCTGAGGACAGTAATTCTCGAACACCACTATTATCTGCTTCGGAGAAATGTCAAGCTGGTACAGTGAAGATATTACTGGATAATGGAGCCTCTATAGAGGGTCGAGAGGCTGGTCGAAGATCACCATTAGCTTACGTGGCAGAGCGTGGGCACGCGTCAATAGCGAAAATCCTTCTTGAAGGAGGCGCTGATACAGAGTCTGAGGGGCCCCTTGGTCAAACACCGCTTTCTTTGGCTGCACAGAGAGGTCAGGAGGTGACAATGAAGCTACTGCTCGAACATGGAGCTAATATAGAGTCTCCTGACCATCAAGGTCATACACCGCTCATCTACGCTGTCGACAACGGGCAAACAGCAGCCATAAACATTCTGCTTGAGAATGGTGCGGACATAGACTCTTCTGACTCTCGCGGTCAAACACCCCTCATCTACGCTATAGAGAATGGACACGAAGCTATCGCAAAGCTTCTGGTTAAAAAGGGTGCTGATATAGAGCTTCCTGATTCTCGTGGTCAAACACCACTTTCCTATGCTGCAGAGCACGGACACGAGGCAACGGTAAAGTTGCTTCTTGAAAAGGGTGCCACTATAACGGCTCAAGATCGGCGGGGTAAAACGCCGCTATCTTACGCTACGCAGTATAAGCATGAGGCAGTAGCAAAGCTGCTACAGGCTAAATGCGTGGAAGCAGTCTTAGATTAATTTTATAACTTAGCATAAAAGATATTGTAGTGCATATATATAGATATAATGCCTTTGACTGCTGCAATTCCCGACAAAAGCCTTATTCATGAGATTGCCGTATATAATTCGTATATAATTTATCCTTGTACTACGTATCTGCGAAAAGGTTCTTCGACGACAATGGAGAAATACAAGGAGATTGGCCGATAGCATTCATACTTTGCCTAATGTCAAATCAGAGTAGGACCAAGGAGGCGAATCTGTATGACAATTAGTTCCATTAGTAAGAACCACACAAAGAAGATCATGAAGTTAGATTCAGGATTACATAACAGTGCAGAATGCTACTCTAGCTATATCTGAATTACTATATCAAGACATTCGGCGTTTGAACAGACATGAATCTCCGGCTAGAAGCCAAATGTACTCGGATCGAGTAAGATCTGCTTCGGACGGAAGATAAGAGTCAAACAGAACTACCTGTCCAATCCGGCAAGTGTACTGCAGCAAACCCGATGGTCGTTCAATTCTGCCGAGAGGGGTTAATGCCCCGGTCAGCATTAGACCCGTCTGCCCATCGGCCCGCGTGTCTGACCTCGCATATTTTAGAGCCCACATGATAGTCCTATTTCCATTTAAGCTAGAGGATCTCTTCACATGACATTCAACAGAGCACAACCCCTGTCTGCTTGCAAAATGCTACCCTCTTATGATCGGAGAGGTCACAAATATAAGTAGCATGACCGCCGCATGTCGGACATTTAAGAATGGGGAAATGTCCCGGCTCAAACGTACACATTAGACAAAAGCTTCGGTCTCAGGCACTACGCACATGGGTAACCGAGATTAATACAACAACTGTTTTCATCGATTAATCGTACATTCCGTACATCCTACTTTCCAAAATAAGATGCGGCTCAGGAATGTACATATCCTCGTCATCGTCTTGGCTGCCGGTCAGACTACAGCCGTTACTCAAATTACCGATGACCATATGGCGAGTCTCCTTAGCCAAGGAGGTGCAGAGCTTGCAGACCGCTATGCGCCCATGTGGTTTTTTGGCCAGGCTCTGAACCAGCCCCCTTGTTACCCGACATGGGCCTTTGGTGGCTCTCCTACTTCCAATGATGTGTACGACAGCAGCCACAAGGCCCCTGCCGCGGCACAGTGTGAGTATCCGGACGTTGGATGCAAGTGTCGCAACCCAGGAGTGGCCATTGACAACAGGGCACCGGACTTTCCGATCTACTATACCTTTAAGAGGTGTAGTGATACCGAAGTGCGAGTGGCATATAATCTCTTCTATGAGAAGGACGGTGCCAGAGTAATCGGGGTTATTGACACTGGCCATGACTAGTGAGTGTTGGCACTCACTCCATTATTCAAGACGTCTTTAACGGCCACAGCGACTGGGAGAGAGTTATAATTATCCATTCCCGAAATGATAACAACATGTGGGCACCGTCGCGAGCACTTCTCTCTTCTCATAGCGGCTATCACAACCTAGCCTGGGGAGACATCCAGAATACCCTCACCACGGAAGAGATTCAGGCTGGGGATTCCAATGATCCCAATGGGGTCCGTAATAATGATCACCCCAAGGTTTATATCTCTTGGTCGAAACATGCCCATTTCGATACGCGCAATACCGGCTGGGTTGACCCAATCAGTCAGTCAACAGATAACGCATTCCGAAGTAATGATTGGTGGCATTATGTCGACAAGAAATACTATGTAAGTTCCTTCCTGAAGCACGGCAATCCTGATTGTTTTGACTCATGAGCGCAGATCTTATCGGATAATTCTACCGACGCCGGCAAAGCTCTGGGGGGTGTTGACTGGGGTAGTGCCACCAGTAACCCCCCTTATGTGCAGGAATCTATTTGTACTGCCGGGAATTCTTGAATGTGTCACAAATATGTATGGAATTGTTCGTGTAAAGAGTTTAGACAGACGGTTCACGTAGAAGTATCCATCGAGTAATAGATAAGTCCAATCATATCGCAAGCGATTAAGATTAATCAGGCACAAAAATACATGACGTCGACGGATATTAAATGGTCCCCACCATCCAACAAACTTATCCTCCTCGGCAACTTCTTATCAACCCTTGCTCAAAACACGCGATCAAGGACGTATTCAGGGTCAGAGCAAATACCATAGTTCAGGTACATCTTCACTTTCGTCTCGGCTTCGCAATTGATTCACCCCAACGTGAAATTGGTCTCCCCCCACTTCGCCCATACCTCAGAAACGACCATCAACCCCACCTAGACCAACCACTTCTAACATTATCCTGCATGCGCTGACCTCCACTGTGACAGAACGCACGGAAATAAGACATATAAAACTATCTACAATATAGTTAAAGAAAATGTCCTGGGTCCAGAAGACTTTCTACCTCCCCCCTCAGGCTCGCGGCTCGTACCTAATCACGGACTACGTTGAAACTCAACTGCCGGAGATCAAGAACTACAAAGTCGGCATCTTGCACCTCTTCATCAAGCATACGAGCTGCGCCCTTTCACTAAATGAGAACTGGGACGATGATGTTCAAGCAGATATGACCGATGCGCTTGAGCGTATTGTGCCCTATGATAAGAAGGGTAACCTCTACCGCCATTCTGCGGAAGGAGAGGACGATATGCCGGTACTTATAACCTTTCCCCTCTATACTATGCCCTTATCTTACCTGCGATTAGTTATCTTTGAGGAGCTTGGGCTGACTTTTCCATTAGGCACATGTGAAATCCGCGTTGATTGGTGCTTCAGTTAGCATTCCTATCTCCAATGGGCAGTTGGCCACCGGCACTTGGCAGGGAATCTGGTATTTGGAGTTCAGGGCTCATAAGCATAGAAGAAATGTTGTCGCAACTATCCAGGGAGAGAAAAGCGAGTGACACGATAGCGATATAAGGGGGAACTTATGATTTATGATGTTATATGAATGTTGTTAGGCTTAGAAAAGGTGCTGTGGTGTGTAAGTGTTGATGTGGGTGTTGGTAGCTTCGTATGTAATATCGCACATATGTAGATATAATACGGATGAATTTTCTGTCCCTATCATGAAGAGATCTAATTCAATAGACCGGTCTACCCTTTCTCATCAACTCTGTCGTGACACCGGAAGTCACAAGCGGTTGCCACGATCCAAACATAGATGTCTAATTTAGTTTCAGTACCACAATACTAGTCAACCCATCATCGATTGATATGAAAACATTTTATTCTAACTCATTGATCGGTACAATCTGTACAACGCCCTTCTGAAGGCAAAAGAGAGGGCAAGAAAAACAAACAATCATCAACGCCAAAAACAATGCTCTACCGCTGTTCAAGACCACCCTCGGTGACACGCTGGGTCTCGTTCACCTCAGCGGCGTCACCAGTGGGTTTGAGAGGGTAGCTGGTAGCAGGAAGGGACTCGAGGTATGCACGGTGCTGCTCGTGGGCCTAATACAATATTAGCGATTCGCACGAATTTGAATTCTGGATGTTGGATCTTACAAAAGGCAGTCCGCAGTAGCCGCAGGTAGCAATCTCGGGCTTGTCGGTGTTGATATAGATTTTGGGGTGGCCGAGAGGACCGCCACCACCGTCACAGCTGACGACTCTCTTCTTCGTCCAGCGAACGGGCTGCTTGTGGATGAGCTCAATGGCGGCATAGGGTTGGGGCTAGTTTTGATAATTGTTAGCCGATCGGTCTTTCACTCCTGGCAGTTGCGCAGGCCCATGTTTCGGATCTTGTCCGTACAACCACCACAGCACAACATCCAATTACAATTGTAATGCCTCAACATACCTGCATCTCCATGATTGTCTGCTCGAAGCGAGGTCCAGTCATAGCCTTCTCTCTTGGCTGCTGGCTGGCGGCCCAGGTCCTGGCACGGTTAGGAGCCTGAAGCTGGCGGTTGCGCTCACCAGCCTCGACATCCTCCCTCAAGGGCGCATCCCGGGAGCCCATGGCATCAACTGGAGTGGCATTGGTGGCGGATACATTGGGCTTGGGCGGTTGCGGGGGGTTCGGGTCGTTGGCTTGGATGTTGTTCTCGGAGAAACGAGGGACGGTGGTGGAGTAGCTGGCCCGGGCGGCAACGCGAGGAGTCCAGGCGGCAGAGAATGCCGCGATCCGGCTTCGAGCCAAAGGCAACATGTTGAGCAATTGAGTCCCTAGGACTTGGTGCAGAGGGCAATTGTGGATGGCGGGTGAAGCGGAGGTGAGAAGTCGGCTTCAAAGGGTGAGGTTTGCGGGAGCTCGCGCCGCCGCTTGAAGAGCCAATCGGCGTCTCTCCTACGGCTGCTGACCCAATTCTGCCGCTTGCGAATTTGTTCCGCTTTTGGCTCATGTTTTTTTGTTGCGCTTTATTTCATGGCTATACCCACATAATTATTGCACGATACATTAACGGAAAGGGTTCTTTTTAAGTCTATCTAGTTTGGGCAATCCTTCTGTTGCAATTCCATCATGGCTGGCTCACCTGCGACTGGCTCCAAGCCAGAGAAGACAATGTCTTCACGTCTTCTTACAATGAAAGTATGTCGCTTGCATTGGGGTCTTTAGGATTTTATACGATCTTCGTCAACTGGAGCTTTGCGAATAGAAACTGATTGATTCAAGTTTATGCAACGAGCTGCCGCTACAGCTGCCGCTAAAGAATCGTCTCAGCCGCCTTCTACCGAAGGTTCAAACACTCCCACCCCAAAACGCCAAAGAGTCGCCCCCGGTGAACAACCTCAAAGTCCTGCAGCTACACCTTCAAAGGATCTTGAGGCCATCTCAGCTGCTCTTGCAGCAGAAGAAGAGAAACGCAGGGAAGCTATTGCGCGTCAGGCTGCGGAATCGGGCGAGACAGAATGGGTCCTTGATTTCGGTGCTGAAAGCCCTGTGAACCAATATGCCCCGCCGCCCTTCATTGTCGCCGATGCTTCTCTGGACGCTGATGATGACGATGACTTGGCATATGGGGGGAGGCAGGCGTATGGTAACTTTAAGCGGAAGAAAAAGACTGAGGTTTGTTCGCATCTTCAAACTGCGGGAGCAGTCTTGCTGACCATCATAGACACGCGTCGCGGGCGGTGATGAGTCTGGTTCAGAGGAGGACGAGGATGAAGACGAAGATGACGTTGACTCTATGATCAACAAAGCCAAAGCGAAGGCCTCGAAACAGCCTCCGAAGGTGAAGCTCTCGAAATTAACGAGTATATCTGGTGGACGTCAAGGTTCTGTTGGAGGCAGCAAGTCTCAGAAGAAGCGCAAACACAAATAAGTAGTTCGGTCTAGTAATTATTCGCCATCCTACGGGACACCACGATGACATTGCCCACGGCCTTCACGCCAGCATCCATATACCCAAAGCGTGCGGCGTCTTCATCAACAGGGGTACCACCGACTCCTTTGGAGCGGACTACGAAGAGAGACATTGGGCATACATATACTGCGCTTTCCTCTGTTTCTATTTGGTGCGCTTTGCTTTCCAGCAGCTTCAGAGCTACCACATGCTCGGAACCCGATGTTACTTACCACACTAGTGCAGCGCCGTTTTGATATAAGGGCCCCCTTCCGCTTATGGGCATCGTTTCCCAAAAAGCTGACATCGAAAGTAGCTTTTCGGATGGTCAGCTCATCGACATTGAGCGTGAAAGACTCGCTTTGGTGTCTGTCGTGACTCTATTGTCTTTTTTTGAATGAGAGAGCATACTGTGCGGCCTCGTGTTCCCATCTCTATCAGCCTTCTCAAAAACAGGCGACGGCGTAGTTGAATTCCCTCTATAGTACCGAAAATCAAGAATCGAATTCAACATGAATTTACGAAGCTGAGCAGAAGAGATCACTCGCGTTCAACACCCATTCGCTTGGATACTTTATTTACTGTCTACGTAGCTTGAAGTCATTTATAACACGTATGAGTTGGTCAAAGTCTCTAATCACAATATATAAGCGGGACTATATCCATCTATCCTCGCTTACAAGATGCCGAAGTATACTGCTTCTTTCGATCCATTTAGACTATGATTAATCTCAGAGAATTTCTTTCACGCGGAGAGGCTGATATGATCAGTAGGTGTGTCAACGTAGAAAAGATCTTCCTGTAGTCAAGGGGTCTGAAGTAATAGCCAGCACTGTGTAGCATACAGAGTTCCACCAAAGAATCTTTCGTATTAGTGATTCCCTCAATTTGTTTGCCCACTCCCTGTAAATGGTCCCCTTTCACTCACCACATATTGTCGGGTGTATTCATTGAAATTCTCTCTCCTTTTACTGCGTTCGGCCCCTGATGCTCTCGCGTTTATGCCAATAGATCCATATTGCTCTGCTCCAGCATATTGCTAGAATCTTACCCGCCATTCCATGTCATTAATTTGAAATATGCCTTCTTATAAAGCAATCAACTTATATCAGAACTTTTGTTCTTACTAAGTGAGATTTTTTAAAAACCAGACCACGATGCTAGTGTCCTTCACGGTGTTCCGGTCATTGACCCTAACAAGATATGACCTCTATCATTCATCGATTATGAGTGACATGATTTCCGAGACTTACGAACTTGACAACGTAATCCACCACTTTTAATTTGTCTTCGAGATCTATTGATTAATCTTGGAGCTTTGGACATAGTTCGATTAAAATAACTATATTGCCGGCGGTCTGCCAATAAAAGATCTTTGATCGAGCTATATTTTATATACAGTCAACATAGTATATGATATTGATCGGTGCCAGATAATATACACATCACTGTAGGAGGTCTTTTCATTTACTCGAAACATCTATTGATGTCGCTGTTATGGTTCCCATTAAAGTAATTAAGATCAAGACACTGATGAAGAAGAACAAGACCACAATCTATTTACACTCATAGATATGATCAGTATACCACTTATGCGCCTCAATACTCTGCATCTTCTGTCCAGCATTCCCCATATCAGAGTCGGCCTCATTGATCATCTCGATATCTGCCGTGCCCACAGTCTCATTGTTCCCCACGGGGATCCAATACTCCGGACTAATCTGATGATAACCGAGCAGGCGAGGCGGCAAGCGAGGAACAATATCATTAGAATGAGTAACACGGAAATTAGAGCCCTGACCCGAGACATAGTCGGCGAATTCCTGATTGCCCACACGAGGCGCTCCATAGGTATACTATTCCCGTTACGTTAGCACCACACTCATCCCGTAGAACGAAGCCCATAAAAGGAAAAAGAAAAAGCGAGGAAAATACTCACCAACTCAACCTTAGACCCCGAGTTCCGCAAAACAGTAGCCGCAAGAGTCCCAACTGCACCGCCAAAACTATGTCCGGTCACGGCAAGTTTGAAACCAGGATAAGCCTGGAGGGCTTTCTTCACGCCATCCAGCGTAGCGGTAGCTACCGACTCCCATGACTTCCAGAAGCCGGTGTGCACTTCGCACCCGTCACAGAGTTCATCGACATCCTCCCTTGCTAACTGGATGTTGGCAGCCCAGGTCTCTATCGATCTGGTTCCTCGGAAGGAGAGAACAATTTGCTTGTTTGACTCATCTACTGCAAGGAACCCGGCTACGTCGCCAAAGGCTTCGTTGCTGTTTTGAGTTCAAAGTTAGCCGGTTTGGGGTGGTGTCGGATGTATATGTGCTCGTGATTAAGTCAGTTAGACATACTCTTCAAACTCGGTCAGAGTCTTGGTATTCGCTCCCTCGACAAGAGGACAATTCCCAACTGAGCAGGTGAGCTTTGTATCTGGGGAGTTGGTATTGGCGGAGCAATATGCTGCTGCCGCGTACTGGGCGTATAGAGTGAGTTGTTGGAGGAACTGTGGCGAGACCTCTAAATCCATCATTAGAATCTGACGTCTCATATGACAGGATACCTCATGCCTAGGGGTAGCATTCTACACTCACCTCGAGGGACTATTTGAGCCGAAGAAGAAGGGGCAGCAACGCCCAGCCCTGCACAGGCCGCGAATGCCGTTAAAACTTTGCCGAGATTGTGCATTGCGGAATATTATATAAAAAAGAATGATATATGTACTAAACAAAGAAGAGAAAAGTCAATTGAAATGAGAGGACAGGTCAAAGGGACAGAAGATAAGCCCTATGAACCCAAAATTTAGCCCCTTGAATGCCACAACACCGGAGGCACTCAGACCTGCTGTTTCTCCCTTATTCAAATTGAATCAGAGTCATCCATGGAACCCTTAAACAACCTTATATGTCTAGACACGGACAGGCAGCATTCGCCGAGCCCAACTACCGTACTCCCCACACCAGGAGGTCAAACTCCCCAACGGTATTCCGGTGGGAGACACAGATCACATTCGCCAAGATACATTGTAGCGTATCCCACAGTATCAGGCAATAAAGCTCAAACAATAGGAGAAGAAAGGTCCATGCAGAATTGAAGATCGGCAGTGTGAAGAGGCTTGGGCCACTGCAATAGGAACGAATCAGAAAGCAAGGCCACAGGCCATGCAGGCTACAGTGCAAGAATTCTTCGCAGAGTGTATACAAGAGAAAAACTAAGTCACCCGTGTCCCTGCGCCAAGTTCATAGTTCCCATCTCTATCCATGGGTTCGCTAGTGGGGACTGTCCCAATTCCTTACCCTAACGGTTAACGAACAGCTAATTCAGGTCCCAGGAATGGACGCGACCAATGAACGGCTCTTGCTAGCTCGTTTTGTCTCCTGAATGATCCTTTCTCTTTGTTCCGTTCCGTAGATGTACTTAGTGCTTATCACTGAGCTAAGTATCTCTGCCGTAGGGGAATTTTTTTTTTTTTTTTTTGAACCAACGGGGGGATCTTGTTGTCATATCGCCGATATTTCCCCCTTCGGAAGGATTCCGTTTCCTCTATATTAGTTAAAGGAGGCTTGGGGCATTGAGTGAGCACGTTTTGGTCTACTAATAGGTGCTACTTTGCAGAAGGGTCCAGTGAGGTTGAATTTAGGGTTGTCTTTCTCATTCTTTCGTGGTGTGGGGTTTGGGGTTTACTGTGGTGTGATAGTAGTTTGCCGGGAGACTGTTGGCGTATCTCGTGCTATTAAGGACCGACAGTTGTAAAGGATACGCGATGATGAATCAACTAGCCATCCCCATTTCTCCTTCCGTATAGTTGCAGATGCTTTCTGTAGGGGCTGTGGATTCCATGTAGGCTCGGGCGGCGCTCATTATCTAATGCTCAGCATTCTATGCATACCATTTTATTTTGTAATGTTTTGGAGAAAGGATGGATCATTATCGGAAAAATACAACAGAGAACATCCCGCTCCTTAAAACGCCGGCCAATAATAAAACTCATCATGTCTTCGAAGAAATGGTAATCAACGGGACGCAAACAGACTAACGCCCAATTGTTGAGCAACGCATATACGTACTCACCCTCGGCCCAGGTCAGTCCTCACTGTGCTCCATTCTCGGTTGTATCTCCAGTGTAGTCGGCCATTCCCTCATCCTGCCCTTCGTTGTCTCCTGCGAGGACCTTTGTCTTAGGGATCTGGCCTTCAGGCAGTGGTGTACCCGGGGTCGCGGCGACGACGTTGTCATTCTCATCCACAAATTCGAAGTTATACCGAGACAGCAGGTGAGGGATAGCCGACAGTTGTGGCCCATAACGGGCGGTGTTGTCGTACAGTTCAAACAACGGCACAGCAAGAAGCTTCATGTTCTTCGGTACTGAGAGGACCTCTGGAAAGGAACAAGTCAGACAGGTCCATCATGAAACAGGAACAAGAGTCGAGACGCGAGACTCACTCTTCTTAGGCAGCTGGATGAAGTACAGCTTTTTGCACTCCTTTGGCCGAGTAACATGGCCAGGCAGGAAGGGATACATGAAGGTCTCGAAATTCGGCCGCCACCATTGCGCAAGTGTGTCGCCGATTTCCCAGTCCTCGTTGACGCCTTCTCCTGAGAACTGCGACCCAACAGGCGCAAGGCGCTCATTTAGTCGCTTCTTGAAACCCTCCACCTCGTCGTCTTCGAAGTGAAGATAGTCACCCGGACTAGGTTGATGGTCAGTCTACGGTTCTTTTTGGTATGTCGCACTGCAGGCCACGGTAGTCGATGTAGCTAAGGCAACACGTACAGCTTGAAAAAGGCATTGGCGATTTGTAGCATCAACACGTGAGGATGGTTATGTTCATGGCAAACAAGAACACCTTCGCAAGTCCGTCTCATGCCATGCTGCTCGTAATGTTCCTCAAGGCGTTTTAGACGGGCCAGGACTGAGGGGTCCTCCTCCGGTTGCGTTTCCTTGGTACCGAATGTGTAATTGGAGAGTGGATATAGACGGATTGTTTGAGGTTGCTGAGCGGAGAAATCTTTAGGGATGATAGGCCTGCAAGGAATGAAATATTAGTAACCGCCAGTGAGGAGAGAAGTCGTAGGTAAGTCCGGTCGACGAAACAGAGAACATACGGGCGAGAGCTTTGCATCGCCGTCGCCGTGGTAGTTGACATTTTGACGATTATCTTTTTTTTAGCAATGAAAGGTACAATATTCGTGCGAGCTTAATTTCAAATAACTGTGAAATTGAGTAAAATTTGACGCGGCTGCATTCAGTCGCAACTTCGATGCGGCGGAGGTCTACCGGAGCACTGATGGAGAAGTGGATGGAGTAGACCGTAGTTAGCTTTGTTATGGCGGCCTTCGGGCTCGCCCCGCGAAAACATTCCACCGCCCCGAGGAGGAGGGCGCCATTTACACCGATGTTCGACTGAACCAGAGCGCATCAGTCCATGTACGTCCAGTCTATGACGATCTACGAGAAAGCAAAATGTCTACAATTCTTTTCGCTAGGTCTCAGATTTGAAGTTATCTTTAAATATCCAGCGAGCATTGAATAATGTTATATCAATATCTGAACCGCTTGGTTTCTAAATGGATCTACTACGTACATATCAAGATCTCATAGCTCCAATAACCCCAACCGATGCCTTACCCATCACTCACCCCAACACCCACATGTTCAATGCTGAATCTATACAGATTGGCTATGTCTAAGAGAAAATAGGAATATACCTTTTTAGATTCTACTCTTAGAGCTTGGCATCAAAGTCCTCATATTCGCTCAAGTCCGTCACAGGGCTAGGGCCAGCGCTGACAGCAAGGCGTGCCTTGAACTCGGAAACATTGGTGATAAAGGTCGGGTGTTGCCTTTCTCCAAGTTTTCCAACGCCATTCGTCACGGATGCTTCCTTGTTAGACTCAAGTCCGAGTTGCTTCAAATGCAAGCCTATGTTCTGTTCGGCCTGTTCAAGGACCGGCTTGATTTGCTCCTCGAACAAATTCACCTCAGAGGTAAGGAACGTCTTAAGGGCAGCCAAAATTTGACCCTCGTTGCCAGCGGAAATGTCGAGTTTTTCAATTGCGATCTTCAGGCGATCGTTATCGACGGCAAACCCAGCTGTCTCCAACTGCTTGGCAAGTAGCGACGATAACGCAGAGTTTCTCTCGTTGGGCTCGGTGGTATCGGCGCCAGCCTGAGCCTTCAGATGCACTGAAAGCTTACCCCGTGTTGTTGACTCGGGATCAATATACTGTTGATAAAATTTGATAAGGTCGGGTTTGCTCAAGGTCCGGACGTTAGCAGCGTCGGACTCGTTCTGCACAAAGTCGAAATATTCAGAACCAACATGGGTCCAGAACCGAGTGGTCTCGGAGCCCAGATTCTTAAGTTTCTCTAAGCGCTTGTTGACGACACTCCGTTTGTGGCCCTCGAATTCTTCATCGGACATCTCTTCTAACGCCTTGCCAAAGTTGCTCAGGAATGCATTGATTCTGGACTCCAGATACTGGGCAGTACGCTCACTCTGGATAATGACTCGGTAACCGATAGTCGTGGCTGAATAACGTGCGCCACTCCAAACGACGTACCCCAGTTGCTCTTTGCTTCGGAGTTGGTCGAATGCAGGCTCGTCGGTCATTTGGGCAAACAGCAAAAGCTTCGCTCGGAGAGCGTCGTCTGTCATGTTTCCGACAAACAGATAATATTCTATGCAGTGATTGACGTTTGCGGGATCCTTCAGTGCCCGCTCATAGATAAAGTCGGCCCCAGGAGGGATGATCACGTTGCGCCTCACATGCCATTGAGACTGGGGCAAGGGACGGCTCTCAAGGATGCTCTCCACAGAATCTGTCATCCGAAGGGCGTCCTCTTTGTACACGTTACCGTGCGCTAACACCTCGATATGATTCTGGCGGAGCAGCTGGGGGAAGAAACACGAAATATCCTCGGGTTCAATGTGCTCCAGTTCAGCAGCATATTGCTCATTGAGCCATGCTTTCTCGGCAGTCAGATAACGTGTGTAGTCGCCAACTTGATAGAACGGCTGCTGATACTCCGCGTTCTTATATCCTCGTGACAAGCGTTCCTTGATGACATGGAACCGGTCTGGGTTGACAACTAGGTCACGCATGCTAGTGAGTACCTTCTCAAGAAGCACTGCCATTTTGTCATTATATCCGCCAACCGACACATCAAGACCAAAAATACTGGCAGAAAGGTTATAGTCCAGCCCGGCAAGCTCAGCATCGTAGGAATATTCCACCAAAGCATCTCTGACAAGCTCACAATATAACTTTGATTTTACAAGATTTGCGGGGGTAGCCCACACCAGTGGATTCCGGAGAGTGACATGGAGAGTGGCTTTAGGCACCCAAAACCGATCGTCCTTCTTGAACCAGAGACGTACATGATCATCATGGCGAATAAGCTTTGGGGTCTTTGCTGGCTCCGAGACCTCCTTCTTCTCCACGGAGAGTCGGGTGGGGACGAATTCGTTTTTGTGGGGCATGTGCAGACCAGAAAGCCTAGTTTCCGGGGTGCTATTCAAGGCTTCCTGAATCTCAGCCAAGAAGTCTTTCGGGACGTCCTCGACCTTGTATTCGGTGCCGTACCATTTCTCTTTAAGGTCCCAGTCTCCCGGGTAGTCCTGAGCAACGACAACCATTCTGAAATTATCGGCGCGCAAGTACGACAGTGCCTTCTTGATCAACTCCGGGTTGTAGCTCCTCAGGAGCGAGCCGCTGAGCAACCAATCCCGAGGCAATGGCTTCTGCATGACGCTACTCAGGCGACTAGTAAATCGGCTGGCCGGCGTCTTCTGTTTGAACCGAAATTCGACCTCTGCTAGATTCTTCATTTCGTCGAAGATCCACTGCTCGGGCTCCCGTTCTTTGATCAACGCAATATATTCGAACACCGCCTTCGCGACTTCGCGGTATTGCCGTAAACCCTCCTTTGTCAACCGTATCGAGATGGTGAAGAATGCAGATCCTGGGCAAATGGGCATAACACCAGCAGACAAGCCGTTGGCCCAACCTTTTGCCTTCACATAAGCCAAAATACTGCCGGGACCCTCATGACCAATCAAGTGACTGATATACCGACTTGGTTGGGACTCATACATATGCTCCTCATCTAAGAAAGGGAAGTAGATGTCAAGCGAGCGAGTATCCATTACAGGCTTGGCAAAAACCTGTTTACACATATCGTCAGCTAGCCAAGGCTGAGCATCGTCCCAACGGTTTTGTGGCAGATCTTTATTCTTTACACCAGCAAAGAGATCTCCAACCCATTGCTCCATTTCGTCCAGTGTTTCGCGTCCTAGAACCACCAACTTCATCCGATTAGATGAGTAATGCTTCTCATAGAATTTGATGAACTCATCGCGAACGTTCAGCCCGCGTTTTTGCGGATCTTCTTTCAACGTCTGCAAATTGCCCGTGGAGAAATGGTGATAGGGATGTGCAGGATTCGAGAGAGACTTGTTTAGTTGCATTAAACGCCACAGGTCGCTTTGCAAGTTCTTCTTGTTTTCAGAATCTACTGCCCTCAGCTCGCGGTCCAGCGTTGACTCTAAGAAAAGCGGCGCCACGAAAAATTGCGCAAAGCGATCGAGAGCGCCATATAAAGGAGACGGTTTACTACTATTCGGGGATTCAGAGCTGTCTGTCTGTCCGGTAGGGGTTGTCCCGTTTGTCGGGGTACTGTTGCTACTGGACGACCCATCGCTCGACTCTGAGGTAGCAGACACTTCAAAAAAGTAGTTCGTCTCCGTGGCAGCAGTGTAAGCGTTAGACGATCCAGAATGGGATGCTAGATATTGGTTATATGCGTTTTCCTTAGGATACTGTGTTCATGGCACGGGGTTAGCTACCGGTCATGCGCTCAAGAAGAGGGCAGGGTGAGCACGCCAGCATGATCTAACCTACCTTTTCAGTTCCCATGAAGAGTAAATGCTCAACAGCATGAGCCATGCCTGGCATATCATCTGCATCTGAAAAATTGCCAACATTAACATTGACGGCTGCGCTTGCCTTGTCCGTATCAGGGTCATGAACAAGAAGGGCCTCCAGCTTGTTCGGGAGGCGAATGACGCGGTACGAGCGGTCATCCAACTCCGGCTTGTCCAACTGCTCCGTAATGCGTTCTATCGAGGCCATGGCTGCGGTTCTGGTAGAAAATGGGGCACGAATCGACAAGAGATGGGAATGATGAGTGCACACACGGGATGACCAGGGAGAGCGATGCGAGAAGAACCGTGGCGAAATCGATGAAGGAGAGGCGATCGCCGCAAGGGCGCCGGAATTTGCAATAGAGCGATAAACTGGAGTTGAAAATGAGGGACTCCTAGCGTTCCACAGGCGGAGGGCTGCAGAGGACGGGGACCTTGGAGGCATGCGAGAACGGGATTATCTTAAGAAGCCGCTCGAGCGAGCTGCCGGCGGCGAACTTATGAATGTGGCCACCGGGTCAATGCGGGTCCACGTCAGTTGGATAAGGAGGTGGTCCCCACAAAGAAACTTTACAACGAGAATAGGGTATGCCGAGGAGTAGCAATAAGAGAGAGGTTGGGAGAAAGAATGACAACGATCACGACATTTCAACAATGCTGTTCAAACTCAAGGAAACCATTGGATGATGATTAATGGCAGGGCGGTGAGGTGGAGATCCCCTCGGATTGCAGGCGGTGAAGCCTCCTCCCCACAATAATGCATCCCGAAAAAAGGCCTCCATACAGACCATCACTGATCAGGGTTAGTATACTTTTAGACATGTACATCCCCTCAGCTCAGGCAGCGTTCTACGTTTTCCAGAGACACAAGGGGATAGTCACCCACGAAACTGTCTTGCACAGTGAGTCATTGACCAACGATGGCCATTTCCCAATGACAGAAGAGCATTGTTAGAACATACCCCGTTCCATACAAAATTTAGGATCTATTCTTGCTACTTTCGAAAAGCAACAGTTGAAATGCACAAATTTTCATACATAACCAGGTAGTATATTCCCGTGACCATTATTAACAATGGGCTCATTGTTCATTGGGGTTTACATAAATTCTACATTATATATGTAAACGGCGGGAAGCTATATAGATGCAAACCAGGCAATCTAAATCTTATATTCAGATTTATGTGATCTTTTCGTCTTGTAGAATATATACTAGCTCTCATATGTCCAAAGCTGGACTCAGCCCTTGCGGACTCGTAAACCCCTGTACCCTTACTTGGTTGTCGTTGCTCCTAGTCGCTTTCCGCAATGCATTTTTTTTGCAATGCTTACAAGCTGTGAGGGAGTTTGCACTAGGATTGTCCATTCACTCTCTGACAGACTCGCTCTCTCTATGGTTTCCAAGAACTCCTTGTTCTATAGATAAACAAACTGGTAAGTCAAGCCCTCCAACAAGTATACTACTACTACTACTACTACTACTACTACTCATGCAATCCTTGGAAATACCTAGTCAGTCAGATTCACTCAGTTCAGTACTGCCTGAACCAATGCGTGTTTCAACCGTCTGAGCACATGAGTCCGCTCTCTCCTTTACGTCCCCTATCACAGCAAATGATAGCTTTGCAACTCCTTGCGCTACACTGCCATAATTTTCACTCAGACATTTGAGGACAAGGTGGGTGGGAGTCTGGAAGTGAGAAGGCAAGAGCCACAAAACCAAGTGAGGACAGAATGTGGATCTTTATATTTAGATATTGTTGGATGATCTCAAACTGATTTGCAATAGAGAAAGATTATTATAGATATGATATTAGGAAGATTATAGAAGGTTGGTCAAAGAAAAGAATAATTGTCAAAAAAAAAAAAAAAAAAAAACAGCAGATGATCTGTACCTGCGGAGTTTGGGAAGATTTCTTCCAGAGTGAAACCGTATAATCGAATTTTCACCTTCATGTTGTTATTCATGTAAGTTGTAATAGCTATTCAATATGACTATATTAGTGCTATTTAACCAGAATTCTAAGCGTGAGAAGGGGAAAACAGATATATAGATAGAGACTATATATACATAGAAGTAGAGAAAATAATACTTAAATAATACTATAAAGAATATCCTTAAAGTACTAGCTGTCCTTTCCCGGCCATTATTATCCTATAATTTTCTACCTTGTACGAAGTATAACCACCTTCAATAAGGTATGCTAAACAAGGGTTTATAAGCAGGCGTAAATACATAAATTTCCCCACATTCGGAACATCAATCCGCTCGGAACACCCCTCCGACGAAGTATATAACCACTTGGAATTACTACATTCAGAAAAAACATATATCAGCTCCTATTCAAACTATCTGGCAACACTCATATACGCAATCAATATGGACATATTCAGCTCACTACAAAATAATGGCCGCCAAATCCATTGCATTGACATGCATACCACCGGCGAGCCAACCCGCATCATCTACTCTGGCTTCCCCAAGCTTGAAGGCTCATTACTCTCCAAACGCGATCAAGCGAAGAACCAATACGATGACATTCGCAAACGCTTAATGTTAGAGCCCCGTGGACACGATGGTATGTACGGTGCTATCATCATCCCCGAGACGGAACTCGTGATGTCCGGGGAAGCGGATATCGGAGTTCTGTTTACGCATAATGAGGGGTACTCCACTATGTGCGGACATGCCACTATTGCACTGGGCCGGTTTTTGGTCGACACCCATGACCTGAATGTGTTTCCGAGGAGAGAGACCTTGAAGTTTGATGCAGACAGCCAAAGTGTTAAGGTTAACCTTCACGCACCGTGCGGGTTGATCAGGGTGACTGTGCCTACTACACCAGATGGAAAGAAATCCGATCCTTCGCGCTCGGTGTCGTTTCTGTCCGTTCCTTCTTTTGCACCGGCTGTGCAACTAAGAATTCCTATCCCGTCGGAAGTTCGCTGGCCTGAACTAGGAACAAGGAACTCGATTGTTTTGGATCTCAGCTACGGAGGGGCATACTACGCTCTCGTCGATATCGAAGAGCTCGGCTTCAAAACCTTGAAAGATGTGGACCTCGATGCTACTACGCGTTGTAGTCAGAAGTTATTGCCCTATCTGAGAACACATCCAGATATCATTTCCGCAATCCAACACCCGGAGGACCCTCGTCTTTCATTCCTCTACTCTGTGATGATAGTAGACTCGAAAACAGGTGTCAAGCTTGGAGACGTTGATGGTACGGAGACTGGGCTTTGCTACTTTGCTGATAGCCAAATCGACCGCTCGCCTACAGGATCCTGCGTCGCGGCGCGCGTGGCGTTGGCATATGAGAAGGGCTTGAGGAAACCTGGGCAACGCTGGGCGTATAACTCATTGGTGTCTAATAAGTTTGGAACCGGGGCATTTACTGCTGAAGTTGCGGGTGAAGATTCCATTCCTGATGCCCAGGGCAAGAGTATTCGCTCCGTGGTTGCGAAAGTTGGCGGACAGGCCTTCTATACCGGGGCGATGACATTCACAGTGGAAGATGAGGATGTGGTATCGAGTAGTGGGTTCACTATGGCTAGTGTAGTGTCGTGATATGCTCTAATTCACCTTTGCTGCACTTGTGCTGACGCGTGTAAGCTGTATCTTTATTTATGGTAAATTCGCTTACCCAGTCAACAAGATAATCGACGATATTGACTAAATTTGTATATAGATGATCTTGATATGAATAACAACCTTGGCAAACAAGCCCTTGCAGACATTGAAACAAAACAGAGACATAATTAGGGTCAGGACAGCCAAAGGATGAAAAATGTTACTCGCTCAAGTCAATTGGTCATTTCTCTCCCTGGTTTCTTGATATTTTGTGATCAACGTTTATTACACCACTGACGTCTAACCTCCACTTCCTGGGGTAATACTCGGTTAGATTGAGCATTCACATCAGTGAATCTGAAGTTTCAGATACTATGTCTAGAGTTGAACTATAGCGAAGCGGTCAGTTGCGTCTCGAGAAGCTCTTGTGCTAGAGGCCCTCCAACTGATCATTCCCATGCTAATAATTCGCAGAGAGGAAAAGAGAGTTTGGTCAATCTCCAGGAAGAGATCCTAAGATGACTATCATGTCTTACCTTGAGTAGATATCTACTCAAAGAAGAGAATCATGACGGGCTTTTAGGCCCTTAGCGTGCTGATAGAGTCTGCAAATGCTCCCTCTTCCCTTTGACAGTCTGTTGACCTTTGTAATGCAGTCTCCTATTACCGATAACGCCCAGCCGCTGGCTTCGAGGTTGTAATTGATCTTAACACTTTATGCGCGTATACAAAGGAGACAGAAGCGGGAGAGGCAACGATGACAACAATCAAAATAGGATACATAAACCAGGGCCTATGTAAGGGCTAATATGTTGACAATGCGCCTGACAATGCACCTAGAACTCAACAGGTCAAAGAAGCCAATTTTGTCTATCCAGATTGGAGTTGGATAGTACTGTCTTTTAAGATACTATAAACACCCCATAGAATTGGACAAGACTAGACAGGACAAAATTTCTAGCTTCCCAAGACTTAGGATTTCCCATTGAGTTCTAGAATCTTAATTCAACAATCCGTGCATTCATTGTTTATTTGAAGGGAATGAGTAAGTTCTTATTACGTACGGAGTAGTGTTATATTGGGCAAGGGTCCTCAGGCTCCACTTGCGGGCTGTGGCTGGGGGTCAGCTTTTAGTTAGCAAACGAAATCAAATGTTCTGCCACCTGTCGCAACTTCTGGCCTGACAGCCTCTCCCCCTGTACTCCATACAACCCGTCGCAGTCCTTACTGCTTCACGCTAAATGATCTATGATTTAAACCCTCATTAAATTATAAACAAAGCCACATTCAGGGAACAGGAAATACCACGGACGGTCGAGACCCGCGGCGGCGCCCACCATAAGTCCTGCCCATCACATCCTCCGCTCTCCTGCCGATCAAATTCCAGTAGCGCAACCATGACCACTGCTCTATCGACTTGAATTAGATTCAATTGACGCTGTAAATACGACCGAGTTTTTCGATTTTCTGCACGAACCCATCCGAGTTGTTACCCCATCGTCAACACAATGCTATTCTGCGGCGGAGTCCAAGGTCCACGCCGTCGCAATCGCGAAAAGGCCATCCTGGTGACCATTTTCATCATAGGCGCTTTGTACTTTCTGTTCTTCGCGAAGAAGTCTGAACACCGCAAATTCGTATCCCATAATTCAGTATCTTATGAAGGTTCACAGCGAAATCCGCATTCGGGACAAGTTTCCCCGTCGTCAGTGCCAAAGTCGCAGACTCTCCAGAAGGACCTGGTTGTTGCCAGTATGAAGAGAGACGACGTCTCCTGGCTATATGATAACTTTCCCGAATGGCATAAGAGTATCTACGTGGTGGATGATAAGCAGGCGAAGTTGACAGTGGACTTGAACAAGGGCAGGGAATCTATGGTTTACTTGACGTAAGATAGGCCCTTGCGCAGGTTGCTCTGAGCGTACGATTGGTCTAACTTTGCTACAGATATATCGTCGATAACTACGACAACCTCCCCGACGCGATGCTATTCATCCACTCGCAGAGATACCAGTGGCACAATGACGACCCCTACTACGACGGTGTCCCCATGCTCCGCAATTTCCAGCTCCCTTACCTCCTAAAGCAAGGATACGTCAATCTCCGCTGCGCCTGGGTTCTCGGATGTCCGGTAGAGATCCACCCGCTTACTGATACACATCGTGACGACGTCCATGCAGGCGAGTACTTCAAGACTGGTTTCATGGAGCTCTTCCCTGGTGTCGAGGTGCCGGAGGAAGTTGGAGTTTCATGCTGTGCGCAATTCGGTGTCACGCGATCGAAGGTTCTTGAGCGGCCAAAGAGCGATTATGTACGGTTCAGGAAGTGGTTGGCTGAGACACCGCTGCAGGATGACCTTAGTGGGCGCATCATGGAATATTCATGGCACATGATCTTTGGAAAGGGCCCCGTTTACTGTCCCACTGCCGAAGAGTGCTACTGCAAGGTGTTCGGGTTGTGCGACCTATCTTGTCCACACGAGGGAGACTGCGCTGGACGCTACGTGCTCCCTCCCTTTTCTTCACTCCCAGAGGGATGGCCGTATAAGGGTTGGAAGGGCCAGGACCAGGACCCCACCAAGGGTTTGCCTGAAGCTTGATTGTTGCCAAGCTGATGCAGCCATGCCCAGTACGACGAACGCGGTATTCTGTCAGGAAGCCGGAGACACATCGACCCTACCGTACAACGCCCGCACCAGACCATGCCTGCGTGTGCTTGAGCATGCAATATGTCGCGTCCACAGCCGATATGGCCTGATGGTAGTCGGTCATTACCCGAGGCTTTGCCACCAGTCTGTAGACGGCTATTTAAGACATACAGATGTCTGCTCCTACTCGGATGTGCCGGATGACTGGAGGCATTGCATGCTACGGCTACCACCAGGACCCAACCCACAGCGGTCGGATGGCCTGATCTGTCTGCCAGGCCTACACACTGCTACCGCCATTCTGCATATCATTTGGGTCTACGGTTCTATTTCATGAAAGTCATGACAGATTGAATGCGGGTATATTAGACGACGAACCGTTAAAGTCAGAAGATTGAGGCTTCTAGACATACCATCTCCCTTGATTCACCAGCCACTCTCAAAAACATAGACTATTAGCATTTTGATGTACCATTATTAATTAATTATTGCAAACGGCTATAAGTTTTGGAGTATCTGGGTAATATGGGAAAGTTCAACACGAATACGGCACTAATGACCTCGTCTACTTCGTAATTCAGTCCTCCTACCTTTAAGTAGGACACCCATCGACGTAAATACCAGAGTGTAAGGTAAGATCCTGATCTTATAGCTTTCGTGATAAGCAATCAGGTGGTATCAGTTCAGGTGTCACAAACAAAAGAGCCGAGGTTAGTATGCTTTTCAAGCTCTCCCCACATCTCCGACCCAACTCCGCCATCGTCAAGAACACCACCGTTCCAACCTCCTCCAACATACACAGTTCCTCATCTCCACGCCAGAACCACTCCATAAACAATCCATAAGCCCTCCCCACTAATACCTCCGACCAAACCCACCACAACACGACCTCCCACCACCCCGCAGCTCAATTCCTTACCCCTCCTCACCAACCCCAACCACCACTCACTTCAAAGAACAAAAGCCCAGAACCAAAAGAACCTCAACAAAAACATAAAAAAAAAAAAATGCTCATAATCGGCCTAACAGGCTCAATCGCCACCGGCAAATCCACCGTCTCCAACTTCCTCTCCTCACCCCCCTACTCCATCCCCATAGTGGACACCGACCTACTCGCCCGCCAAGTCGTCGAACCAGGAACCCCCGGCTACAAAGCAATCGTCAACTACTTCGGCCCCAGTACCCCCGACCTCCTCCTCCCGCCATCTCCAGATGATCCGACTGGCTCTAAACGGCCCCTGAACCGGCCGGCGCTCGGCCGGCGCGTGTTTGGCACCACGGAGGAGCGCAAGCGCGATCGCATGATCCTCAATAAAATCGTCCACCCGGCTGTCCGTTGGGAGGTCTATAAATCCCTCCTTTACTATTATATCCGGGGCCATTGGGCTGTGGTCCTTGATGTTCCGCTTCTGTTTGAAAGTGGGATGGATTTCATCTGCGGGACGGTGATTGTTGTCGGGGTGAGGGATCCGGAGGTGCAGATGGCGAGACTGCGTGCGCGGGACCCGCATTTGAGTGCGGAGGATGCGGAGAATCGTGTGAAGAGTCAGGGTGATGTGAAGGGGAAGGTGGAGAAGGCTGAGTTTCGGGGTACGCAGTCTGCGCGGGGTGTTATTGTTTGGAATGATGGGGATAAGAGCGATTTGGAGAAGGAGGTGAGGAAGGCTGTTAGTACTATCTCGGGCACAAGTCCGAGATGGTGGGCTTGGTGTTTGCTTTTGGCGCCGCCGTTGGGAGTTGGTGCTGCTGTTTGGAATATGGCGGTTAATTTTGTGACGCAGAAGGGTTGGGAGAAGAGGGCTAAGGAGGAGAAGGCTAAATTGTAGATTTATTCTGTTACTTTTTATATTTTTGAGGCTTGTGCTTGGGTGTTGGCTTTTGGGTGATTGGCGCTGGTTTGGGGAGTTCGTTTCGTGTATGGCTTTAGCTGATGGAGTACTACAAAGACTATATCTTATGTTATACCCTTTTACTTCCTTGGAACATACTCTAGACTCGGTATATTTGGGTGTATATGTCCGGGAAAGAAAGCTCCAATACCTCATATTGCCATTTTATATGGAGAGAAATAAGACATGTTCAACGAAGAAACATTCAAGAGCTGAAGAGAGTCTTGTTCCAATCATACATACCACAATGCATACTCCCCAGACATATGGACATAAAGCGTGTCCGCATACTCTTCCAGACATCCACCAAACCTATAGTCCCATAATCCCATACTGCTCCATTGGAGACTTTACACAAGTCCTCATTTCCAATTTACTTTAGTCATAAAAGCCCGAGCCGTACCCGGAAAATACTTCCTAAACTTCCAACTCGCCCTACGCTAAGTACTAATTTACCTAGGTTACTTAAAGTATACCTTCCAAATCCGTCAACCAATTAGTAACAGTAACCATGGCCACAATCAAGGTGGAGAAATAGTTCTTCAGTTCGGTGTTCGTATTTGATCGACCGGATCCAAGATATACTCGATCCGTCATAACCACGGTTGAGAAGAATAGAGCAATTATGATTTGCTAGATTTCTCTAGACACAGAGTTTTATCATTATCACATAGTTTCCAAATGTTCATTAAGTAACCCCAATCCCATGACCCAGGACATAAACATAGCGTAAGGTTGTTAACTGTGACGAAATTGATTCATCCAGTCTTATACAAAATCCCCTGTCTTGTCCATTAGCCAACATGCTAGGAAGACCGTATTGTGTAGCTAAAGGAAGCAAAACGAACCTAACATTCCTCGGCACAAAGCTCTAGGACCTCATCCGATCCACTCTGGCACACCTTCACCTGGCTACCGCCGGGCGAGACACCCTGTGGCCAGCAGATAGAAGGACAGGAAGTATCGGATGGCTTGATGACCACTGCGCTGCCGGAGAAGGGGTCACCGAAGACATCGGACATGTCGTACCACACGCCGGCGTTGTCAAGCGTGTAGGCGTAGTTCAGCTGGGGACTGCCGTTGTAGAGACCGTTGTCGACGGTGGTGATCTTCAGGGAGACGCCACCGGAGGCGTCGTCGTGGCGGAAGGGCTCGCTGTAGGACTTGCCCGGTTCGATGGTTTGCTTGGGACCGACAGAGCCGCCGACGGACCAGAGGTAGACGGGGTGGTCGCAGGAGTTCTTGACCACTGCGTTGCCTACGGCGGCTGCCAGGGGGGTCAGGGCAAGGAGGGAGAGGGCTTTGAGCTGCATTTTGTTCTTGATAGGTCTTGGATTGGGCTAAGTATGGAAGTGATTGAGAGGGATGATTGTTTGATATGAGCTTTGGGGTGGTGGGAGGCCGTGCCTTTATAGGTTTTTTGATGGCCTGTGTTTTTAGAGTCGGTTGTTCTTTTGCCTTTTTTTTTTCTTGGGGCTCAAGAGAGGAGAGTGAACACTACTCCGTATGCTATCGGGTCTTTTTCCAGACCGCTCATCCCAAGGTACCCTGCTCTAGTCATGATGGGCTGGTGGTCTGACGGAGGTTAGCTAACCTGATGTCAGTACCCGAGTCGGAAGTATGGTAACTGAGACAATGTAGTAGGGAATGATCGCTTGGCCCTGTACAAACAGTGGAGACCTCTAGCAAAACCAAGTGAGACAGTTACATCTGGGGCATCATCGCTTGCATACATCCGCCGTAGACGAAGAGAGGTACCCAATGGCGATGCATTAGTCGTTCAGACTAGATTCAAGTTGAGATTGCCTGGTTGGCGATGTCTCAGGGCCATTGCAGTAGTTCGCCTCGCGTGGAAGCGGCGGTGATACTATGGATATTTAGTTCGGCTCATTTTGGTCTTCGGGTCTCGTATTTCGGCAGTCTATTGATAGCATATGAGGTCACTTGGAAGCGATTCTCTCTTGTCATCTCCGGCACCGTCATCTGACTAGCGAGCCTTAGGCCCCAGACAGCGGTGGAGAATTAAGTCCCGGAAAGTCAAAGCACAGATGGGGTTCTGTTTATGCACTACTGGCACAAGTCATTCATGCAATGCAACGCCACCGATTTAACTTATCCTGTGGAGATGACGGAGGAAACGGATCCCAATCAATGCCATGAATGTCTCAGTGCTCCGCATACAACATACTACTTGGGTACATTTATTTCCGATACTTGTGTTTTCCTCCTCTTGAACACTCGACCAGAGTAGGGCTCAGGAAATAATACACTGCCACAACTGGTCTGCATCATATATTCAGTCAAGTGGGATACTAATGCCCAGGTCATATTACCAAGGTATTATTATCCAGAAAATTAGCATACATATCAAGGTATATACCAGAAATAAGAGATAATCACTGATCCTTGCTTCCTCATACCAAGTATCAGGCTCGAGCCCCATGGCTGTTCAAGTGGCACAGCATATACCATGATTTTGATTTTCTTTTTCTTTTTTTTTTTTGGTGACCATTCTTGTCTATCTTTTTCTTAATTTACTATTGTGATACTCATGACTATAAGGCGACGCAAAGGTCAATGTTCTAAATATGAGGTTCTGGACATTAGGCCATTTCTCCATGGTGAAGCCCCGATCTAAATGTCCTATATATTGGTCGCAATGCTGGGGCTTCGGTTCATTTCATCTCTACTTAATTACCTAGCGTAACCATCATTGATCCTTCGTGCAATAGATGAAAAAATTATTATGCAACATTCCTGGCCGCCAACCAAAAATAATCGATACAAAAATGGGGTCCTCGTTCAGGTCGGTTTGGCAAAAGCTTCCCCGGGCTTCGTTGGAGACCGACTTGGCTGTTTTTCCTCCTCCGTCTCCTCACTCTCGTGTGGGTCGGCTCGATCCTCGATCCACTGGAACACCTCCTCTTTGTGCTGCATCAGCATCTCACTCAATCCTGACTTGTTAGATTGGATCAAGTGCCCGTAGCGCTTCGATGGTTTGCGCCGGTTTTCAACGGTGTTCCAAACGCCATGGGTGTGCGAAACGAACACAAGAGAATTCTTCTTTCACATTAGTACCGCTTCAAGACGGTGGTGGTGGGGGGTAATTTAGAGCAAAGCGGAACGCATACATCTTTATACCATCTTGACAGCCAAACCTGAGTATGAGAGGCAATCGCTCGAACTGGGTTTTCGGCAACGAATGATACAACGCCATTCACTCGTTTATACAACGTATCTGATCCCATATGAGCGATGATTATCCACGGGGAAACGAAAGCATTTACCTCTATTGATCAGAAGATTGGCGACTCCGTAGAATGCATTGCCAATCCCAAGAAAGAAGATTTCCGTGGCCTCGTTGGGTCTACATCGAATATTAGCTGATGGGTCTCAACCCATTGGCATCTTTGTCCCACTCACTCAATGTAGTTGTCCCAGAGGTATGCAGCCAGTTCCTCGGTCGCTGTGGGGCGGTTCTCTTCCTCGTCTTCATATTTCCCGGACTAGACAGACACGTTAATAGATGTCTAGACATCGAATTAGGGCGGATACTCACGGGATCAATCGTCACATGCTTTGGGATATTGACATCCATCACAGCATACCCTTTTCCAACGGCCCATCCGATATAGTCCTTCATGGAATCAGCCTTCTCAAGTTAGCATGCTTTGCACATTCTTATAGGGGTCCACGTACAAGCCAGCAGTTGTGGGCTTCCAACTTGTTCGTAACAGGGTGAGGCAATCCCATGATTTCCGGTCTGTTAAAAAGTCAGGCTAACCTGGCCGTCTCAGTTCGCGGGATATGACTAACGGATCATGGAATATCACCAGGAGTGGATTGCGTTGATAATAATTCGGCGTGGCCAGAACTTGATTCTCGAAGGATTTGGAGATGGCAGTTCGGTAAATGTAAAGTGAGGTGAGCTTGTAGTTTTCGTATAGTCGTTTAGACTGGTAAGCACGAATAACATCTAAAGACTTGGTTACCCCCAATGCAGTCACCTTGGCTCTTGCCTGTTCTACCTACCATGTAGCCTATCTGTCCAGAGTCCCTCCTCCTGCGGCGCTTTCGGATACATGCAATTCCAGAATTGTGACTGGATCATCATGACTCGTCTCACGGTAGTCGTTGCCAGTTTTGAAGGGAAGGTTGAATGAAGCCGGTCAGGCGGGTCCCCCATAAGGGTCTTCGTGACTGCGAGTGCGGACTTCGAGATTGATCTGAAATTGTAACCGCCCTACGACGATCAGTGTCAGGCCAAACGGTTGTTTACGGCACCAGAGCAGGCTTAAATTTACCTCTAGACAAACAGCAACCTTTCCATTCGCAAGGGTCATAAGCATGTGTGTCATGTGAGCATAGCAGGTAGGTGTGACAAAACAACCTCCAAGCTCGTCACCCACAGCGGCGTCAAAGCCAGAGGCGACTATGATGCATTAGAACCCAAATTGTGCTCTTTCTGATTTCGGGGCATCGAAAGATAGTTTGCATACCTATTACCAAATCGGGATTGAATTCCTGTGCAATGGGCATCACGACTTGTTGAAAGGCATACATGTAGTCGCCATCGCCCATTCCCTGGCTCGGCCAAGGTATGTTCACGTTTCTATACTATATTATTAGCAATGGAATGTAGGTAACGTATATCTGGTGTGTGATCCATACCGCCCATAGCCAGCACCAGCACCGCAGTGGTCCCAGTCGCCTTCATCCCCTCCAGGGTAGAATTTCCCATCCTGATACACATGGAGTGAGACATATAAGACGTTAGGGTCATCGTAGAATGCCTTCTGGATACCATTGCCTATATTGTGTAAGCATCTGTTTCCTGTGCCATAGATACGTTATTTGTCGATGCTTTACCATGATGAACGTCCCTGGGCCAGTCAATACCTCTTCAGCCAGTGTGTCAGATTTTGAAGATTACTTACCAATCAAGAACGAGGATCTTTCTGCATTTTTCTCCTAACTGTCTTTGGCATACACGAGCTGCTACGGATACGTTGTTGAACAGGCAGAATCCCATAGTTTTGTCATGTTCAGCATGGTGCCCTGGTGGCCGGATAACTGCTATAGCGTTCTTCACTTTCCGTGTGGCAACAGCTAAGCATGTTTCAATTGCGCCTCCGACAGACAATAATGAAGACGCAAAGGTCAACTTATTGAAGTATATCGAATCACGAGTATGTTCAAGAGCAATAAGCTCATCATCGGTCATATCTGTTAGATCAGTCAGGAACGTCTATCATTTTAGGTGAAACTATCTGTTTACCTTTTGTACTTTCAACGAATGCAAAATGATCCGGTGTGTGAACAAGTGATATTTCTTCCTCAGTAGCGTTGCGGACACTAATTCGTTTCAAAGGTCGTGAGACAAGCGGTCTGGATGACTCTGGGTCGTCAACGAGCCCAGCTCGACATAGCTCCTTGTAAATATAATAGATTCTCCTTGGGTCCTCTGGGTGGACATCTGCTGTTGGGCGCACTTCACAATGGTAGCGCATCTGAACGTCATAGCACAGACCGGAAGGAAGTTGAGCAATGGGAAGGCCTCTAATGGCAACGGCATCTTCCCCTTCAGACCAGTCGGAGCTTTCCTCAACGAGACTGTCATTAAGCTGGACAAAATCTTCTGCGGTGGCGGTACCAGAGCCAGCTGGTTTTGGTAGACTCTTGGGCGGTGACATTGTGTGGTTGTCTGCGGCAGCAGCTGGCTGAGGGTTTCGCACGCTAGCAGCTGACTGGACAGGCAACTTGAGAGATGGTCCTAGGAGAGGTGGTACGAGCCAAGGGTCCGATCTTCCATTGCTATGGCCAGCGCCATCATGAGTAAGATGCTGCAAGGGAGCAGGGTTGGGGTTATGAGTAACCGCCTCTCCCATGACAGTATCTTCGTCCTCTTCCGCAGCCATTGCGCAGAAGCCTAGACGAGTTGGTCTTATTTCTGTCTTGTAGACGTCTCTGTTCACTCTAGCATGCCATAACCAAGTCTGTCGTCTTGGGCGATTACGTCAGTCTCACAAGACCCCGAGCTTCCCTGGGCAAGATACCTCGTCGATAAAGAACAACACGAGAAGTGACCAATAGGGATCGAGCACAAGAGACATGAAAACGAGTAAAATGGGCAGTACAGTAACGAATAAGTGATGAAGGATAGAAACAAGAGACACAAACTGTACTAGGATATAAGGCTGAACAACAAAGGTAGTTGGCGTTGGGGAATATCAAACACAACTGTGGAGGAAACTACTAAATACTAGTAGTTCGAAAGCCTAGAAACTCAACGACGAAAGACAGCCTGTGCTAGACCAGACCAAGCAATCTAAGGCAAATATTTGAGAAAGAAATAAAGTCCTCACCAGCCCAGAAGAACCACAGGTAAAGGTTGATCTACTATGTGCACACCAATAGAGGTGTTCTGGCGCACGTCCAGGAGTCTTGGATTATGCACTCTGCTCCCTGGAGAAGCCCCAAAAAGCGTGGTTTACTTAGCTTCCGCACGTGACTACAGCTGGTCATAGATACCAAACAGGCCACTTGCAGCTAACGGCAAAAACCTAACCACGATTGGGTGTGGTATCGATTCACACGGTTAACGAAGATGGATCGAACTTGAAATTAGGATAGAGATAGGGAATGGACTTCACTGAAAAGTTTTCCAATTGTCTATCTCCCACTATGGCAAGTCCCAACAATCACTTGCGTTCGTCCGAGAATTTCCCGTACTTCGCCGAGGTCCGTCACCCTGCAAGGCTAACCAAGACAGTATAACTCTGTGTATATATTATGGAACTATTCTAGACCACCTTGAGCTGAGACTGCACCCCAATAAATACGCTAGGAGGAAGTATTGATTTCTAGTGACAAGGAACACCTGTCAGGCAACTTTTATCCAGTATGAACGTCAAATCATTTCATTAAATAAGTACGTTATCATATGCTTTTTATGCGATATGTAGATCCCCGGTCAACAGGGCACTTTGCTATCCCACAGGCCAATTTCTCAGGGTGGTGACCTGATAATCCGGGAACGTGGAACACAGTCAGGCGACTAGAATGTCTTGTTTATAGAACACTTCTAGTTTCTGGTCTCCGTCCTGATTCCTACTGGCTATCGACCTTGGCGATGTAGGCTAAAAGAGAACCGTTAGTAAGGGTCCGGAAAGCTCAGATTCAAGCCTAGAATGACGTACCAATGAGGTCAACAACACGGCGGGAGTAGCCCCACTCGTTGTCGTACCAGGAGACGAGCTTGATGAAGTGCTCGTTGAGGGCGATACCGGCCTTGGCATCGAAGATGGAGGAGTGGGCATCTCCGCAAAGATCAGTGGAGACAATTTCGTCCTCAGTGTAGCCAAGGATGCCTAATCAAGTTAGTAAAAATTGCAAGTACGGGCAGCTAAGACAGTATTGTGCTTACCCTTGAGCTCACCCTCCTCGGAAGCAGCCTTGATGGTCTTCTTGATGTCCTCGTAGGTGACGGCCTTCTCGGTACGGCAAGTGAGGTCGACAACAGAGACGTTGGCGGTGGGCACACGCATGGACATACCAGTGAGCTTGCCGTTAAGAGAAGGAATGACCTTGCCGACAGCCTTGGCAGCACCAGTGGAGCTAGGGATGATGTTCTGAGCGGCGGTACGGCCACCACGCCAGTCCTTGGAGGAAGGAGCATCGACAGTCTTCTGGGTGGCAGTGTAGGAGTGGACAGTGGTCATGAGGCCTTCAACGAGGCCAAAGTTGTCGTTGATAACCTTAGCAAGGGGAGCAAGGCAGTTGGTGGTGCAAGAAGCGTTAGAGAGGACGTTGATGTCGGACTTGTATTCCTTGTTGTTGACACCCATAACGAACATGGGGGCATCAGCAGAAGGAGCAGAGATGATGACCTTCTTGGCACCACCCTTCAAGTGAGCGGAGGCCTTCTCGGTGGTGGTGAAGACACCAGTGGACTCGACAACGTAGGCAGCGCCGGCCTCAGCCCAGGGGATTTGAGCGGGGTCACGCTCGGCGAAGAAGCGGATCTTCTTGCCGTTGACAATGAGGCCCTGGTCGTAGGTCTCGATGGTGCCCTGGAAGCGACCGTGGGTGCTGTCATACTTAAGCATGTAGGCCTACACCATGGAGATCTAATTAGTTCATGGCCGGTGGACATGTCATCCTAGATGATCATGAGATACATACAGCATAGTGGGTCTCAATGAAGGGGTCGTTGACAGCAACAACCTCAACGTCACCGCTGGCGATGCTGTACAAGCACATTTGGTTAGAAACTTTCCCCGACAGAAAAGGCTAGATGGGTAGTCCCATTGACCGGGTACCGGTCTGGACCATGGAGAATCCAATCATAGCCTAGGAGGCGAATTGAACCACTTACGCGTTACGGAAGACCTGTTACCTTGTTAGCCTCAATGAAGTATTGCGATGATGTAGAAAGGACGGATAACTTACGATACGACCAATACGGCCGAAGCCGTTGATTCCAACCTGAGGGGCCATTGTTTGGATGTGTCTGTTGGTTGGCGGGGTAGCTGTCAGTTAATCTGTGTGGAAATGGAAACGGTAGACACTTGGGAATGGCTCTGATATACAAGATTCAAAGGGAACGATGGACGGGAGACGACTCACTTTAAGTAAGGAGACAAAGGGATAAGATGATTGCAGTGATGTGTATGCGAAGAGAGTAGAAAAAGGGAGAAAAGTCAGACGGCGGGGGAGGGGGAGATAAAAAAAGAGCGATGTTGACTGACGCAACGACCAGGTCACTAATCCAGTCACCGGGCGGACACACGGGGCAAAAGCTACAGCTCTCCTCAAGATCCAGAGTGAAACGGGTCCTTGTCAGCTGTTTTCCCGGCTTGCGCCGCTCCCCAGCTCTCAGCAGCCCTTTCCGGTTTCATACACCGGGCAAAGCAGGAGACTCACGATATTTGGGACTCTGCCTCTCCTCGGCAGCTACCGGTCTGACCAATGAGCGTGCCTCAAATCCAGCATGCCGGGTACTCAATCCTACCATCTCGTGAATCTTTTGCCAGTTTTTCGGAATCGAGGGGTCAGTACTACCTAGGCTACGAGGAAGACGATCCCGGCTATTACTCTATCTTTTTGTCCTTTGTTCCGTAGTTCAAGCAATTGAGGGGGAAATGATACCCTGGGGTCCCATACCTGAGGCATCCCCATAGAGGGGCATGATGTAATTACAATCTGGCCATACATAATAACCACTTCTATGGACCACGGCATCCCACTCTTGCTTAATGGGTGGAAGCAATGGAAAGATGAGGGGCACTCGGTTTGACCTTTCCGTTTCCGGGCCGAGAGATCGGACCGGATCAATTATGGTCCACTGCCCCTCTTCTCTCTCGACGCTCACATCATGGCTTAGCGATCTCTCTTAGCCTCTTCTGTTCTCCTGATTCCTGAAAAGATTCACCGGTAGGCAGATGAGGATCACGCGCTTGTCATGGTTTTTGCCCCAATTAATCATCTCTTTGGAATTTTTTACTATTGTTTATTCTTTTTTAGAAAAAATTCAATTCAAATTTTCCACCTTGTTGGGAACCTAGATCTCCCCTGTCTAGAACTTTGCATGAAACTGTACTGGGGGTTTGGACCAATAACCTTGTCTCTTCTTCGGTGATTTTGATAGTAAGGCTCACTCTTCATGCGTTGGGTAATACATAAAACGTCATTATTCAAACTTAATGCGATTGTCATGTCACAGTCAGGCGATATTGAATGGCATCCACCCAAGAATGGCTGAATGATCTGGCCTAAAAATACTACATGTAGATGTTGTTTTATACTGCCTGTGGCTACATGCAGTACACCATTGTAGACTCAGTATCAAACCCTGAATCAATCCAGACTTTCCCCCACTCTTATGTACATGGCGTCTAAATTAAACTAAATCGTCGATCTAACCCATTGACAAGGTCAACCATCATCCAAATCCCCTAAACCATAGCAACACCCGTGAAACAGGGCCCCGAGTCAGTACAATAACATGACCACTAAGCTATAATATCCAACAATTAAGATTCAGAATAAGTAACCTTGCAGGCTAGGTCGAACCACGGTGGTGGCATGTTAGTGTACCATCACGCATGAATTATTTATGTTAGAGAGATTGAATTTCACGGTTCACCGGTGTTTCACCTGTCAGTTGATTTGCCATCTGGAGAACTACAACTTAATATGTCCTACTATGTTGATAAGAGTAGATCTGTTGAGACTGGGCCATGGATTTAGCGTCTCCATATTTGCCCCAAACTACTTATACCCACAGTACTGACGTCTTTACACACTTTACTGCTTACTATGTTCATCGCATGATAGTAATGGCATGACAAGGGCCATACTAGAATCAGATGAGATCAATAGAAACCGCGCATTCCGGTATCCCGAACCTTGTTGCAGATCTTTTTCTATCAAGATACGGTGGAAATGATATACTATCACAATGATCGACAAGATGTATGTCTAATATTCTCCTCAAGGAAAGGGTCAACAACAGTATCCCAGCAAGGCAAAAGAATTCCAATTTGGTCCTGCTCCCACTCAATTTACATCACATCTATAGAATACAGAAGGAGCAAAGCCATGTACTAGGTACTCTAGCATGCTGTCCCCAACAACCAACCGTTTACTCTTCCTTAACACCACCCCTCCAGTTCTTCTCCGCGTTCTCAACGGAGGCCTTGTCACTCTTGACCTGACCTTGGTTCAGGAAGCTGTTGGAGGCCTTGAAGGGGCGTGCGAGGTCACCAGTAGCGGGCTTTCCAAAGACGTGGATCTTGACCAGATTCGATTCTAGAGCGCTCTTGAGAGGAATGATCGACTGAATCAGGAGAGGGTTGGTGTACTTGAAGTACAGGTGCATCACGCACATCATACCAACACCCATCAGTTGTCCCTTGAACAGCTGGCGCAACTGCCCCTGGTCGTACTCCATGTTGGTGGTGGTCACTGGACGGGGCTCCTCGTTGCTACCAAGAGGAGCGGGCTCCACGTACTTCAACGTAGCCATGTCTAGTAGCGCCAATCAGTCATCTAGTTACGGTGGTCACATAAAAAGCGAGGACATACCCTTCTTGCTCTTGATCTTGGACTGAGTGTAGAGATAGATACCCAGGATGAGCACGTTGGACAAGATATACATGCCACGGACGATAAGAAGAACATCAGGGTCCTCAAAAGGGATCTTCTTGGCCAGCTGCATGGCCACCACGATGATGGCCAGGTTGGTACTGTGTTATTGATCGATGGTAAGCATTTGATCCAACATAGAGTAAATGCAATTTGTCGCAAATATTCAAAACAATATTCACAGCGTATTGCACAAAATTACTTACATTTGAGGAGACACCATGTTGACTGCAGTATTGATTGACCCTTTTGTGACGAAGCAGAAGCAACGCGCGAATAGCTTGAGCGGATGAGTGAAGGATTGGCACGCGTGCAGGGACAAAATCTTCCTCAAACTGCGGAACTGGACCCCCGGGAAGTCGGACAGCTGTCCAGATAGGCATTGTTGCACGTGACAAGGACTACGCCTAAAAGAGATTCCCGCAATTGCCGCAAGTTCAAGGCCTGAGGCGATAGTATCACAGCATTAAGGCACCAAATCACCTGTTTGCTTAGATAATGCATTGAGCAACCATCATGCTTTGCACACTTCTCTATCAACGACAACAGTGATCCTGTGATGTTGATGAACGTCCACTCTACAGCCTCTCTGTACAATGGCGGAGGCTCTGGATAAGACTCTCTCACTGCCAGAGTACATTACAGACAATGTCTCATATTCAATAACTTGCCCTGGCTGAGAGCTGAGGTACTACTGAGTGACTCTCCTCAGCTATAACACAGGCCTTCATCACTAAAGCCCATAACTTTCTTTCCTTTTTGGATGCTGTATCAGATCATATGCCATCATTTTGATATGCATTGCACTGAAACTGCTTAGCTGCTTTGTTTGTATCACTAATTGACTAGCAAGCTCACCTTCCAGATATCCTCCATCATCTGGAGACTTGGGATGATGTTCTTGGTTTCCTAATCAGGACTAGCGCCTTTCCGCGCTCAACGCCGTCTTTAGCGACCAGGATGGCTTTGACATTTCTGACTCCTTCATCCATCAACAACGCGCGTGCCGCTGGTGTATCGAATCGCTTCAACGTCCACCATCGTGCTCTATTGCTTCAAATACCCATTTGACGCGACATTTCCATCTCTGCGACCTTAAATCTCGACACTTTTCAAAATGCCTGGTGGAAAGGGAAAGTCTATCGGCGGAAAGGCTGGTTCAAAGGACTCTGCGGGGAAGGCTCAGAAGTCCCACAGCGCAAAGGCCGGTCTGCAGGTCAGTAGATGTATATTTCCTTGTTGTTCCTGCAGTACTTGCGTTGCTGCTATTTCCGGCAACTCGCGGGAGCTTGTGAAAAGCCTCTAGACTCAAAACTTTTTTCCCCTTTCTCACTTACCCCCCGCTGTGGTCTATTGCCTCTTCCTCGTCTTCAATCCTGCGTGGCATGTGTCAAATAGATGCATTCAGGGCTTTATGGTGTCGCTAGGGGTTGGGCATTCGGGCGTGAAGACCTTCACTTGCACGCTAAATCAAGACCTTTTGCGATCGATTATAAGTACTGATTAGTCTCTGCTTTTAGTTCCCTTGTGGTCGTGTTAAGCGTTTCTTGAAGAACAACACGCAAAATAAGATGCGCGTTGGCGCCAAAGGTAAGGCTCATCAGTCGCAAACAGCGTAACCATGATTTGTCATCTTTGACGGACACCACTAACAATCAACTTATAGCCGCCGTCTATGTCACTGCCGTGTTGGAGTATTTGACTGCTGAAGTTCTCGAGCTTGCCGGAAATGCCGCCAAGGACCTCAAGGTCAAGCGTATCACCCCCCGTCACTTGCAGCTTGCCATTCGTGGAGACGAAGAGTTGGACACTCTCATCCGCGCCACCATCGCTTTCGGTGGTGTCTTGCCACGCATCAACCGTGCGCTGCTACTGAAGGTGGAGCAGAAGAAGAAAAACAAGACTGAAGCTTAATTTACGGCGGATACCCCACGAATATGGCGTTTGAAATGATGACGATTGAAAAGGATTCCGGGATATGTCTGTTACAGCGATCGACCTTTAACTGGTTCTAATTCAAATCCGACCAGTCACAAAAGAAAAAAGAAACATTCAAAGAGGCAACGGAGAACTAGATGAATAGGCATCTTTTGGGACAGGGATTTCTCCAACAGACGCAAGCCTCAATCTCTACTCTTCCCTACTCCACAACGTTGCAGCTCGCGACGCTTTTTCTCTCTTGCACTCTGTCTTCCTCTATGTGCTCCGTTCATACCGATTGTCTCGAAATACCATGGCGCTGTAATGGGAGAAGGCTGATATCTTGGTAGTGGGATTATTTTCGATTTTTTCAACTTTTCTGTTTCCCTATTGTTTTCCCCTTTTTCTTTTTTCCCAGTGAATTTTATTCTAATTGATTGACGGTGTTGAGTGCTTCCGATTTATCCACCTCAATTACCATTACGATGTCTCTTTTAAACTTGACGGACTTGTACTGTATGAGTATACTTTGCTCATTTGCGAGAAATTAAATAAAAATAAAGCCAGGCCATACCATCCCGGGATTATACATGGTGTCTCTACTCTCTTGCTTGCTATTAGCAGAGGTCAAGGTCTTTATCAAGGGATACATATTTTGCCGCTGAAGAGAGGCATCATTGGAAACGATCAACTATGATGTGGAACGTTCGAAGCCCGTTCACGACTTGCATCGTAGAGTGGATGAACTAGCGGGGATGGTCGCCCAATTGATAGTATTACTGATGGGAATAATGCGAATCATGTAGAACATACATTTATTGGCGATCTTTAGAGACAAAAAGAGTACAAAAGCAATACGGAGAAAGAAGAATTCGGGAAATAAAAGCCATATTTCAAACAAGGCCCTGACAATATAAAAAGGGCGATTAAAAGGAAAGCGAGAGAAGAAGAAAAAGTAGAGATTAGGTTGCATCCGGAGACTGAACTTTTTCCAGTGGACATACGACAGGGAAACGTACTGGACTCATTAGATCAGTTGGTAGCCACCCGTAGGGAGTACCTATTAGTAAAAAATAGGGCCCGGTCCATAGGAGTGTCAGTTCTCTAAACGCAAAAAAATCCACCCAAACTTGCTTTGTCACAATCCCTCTTTCGTCCGCCACGCATTGCAGGCCAGAGCTAAATTGAACATGCAAGCCAAAAGGAGCGAGAAAAAAAGAAACGTATCAGGAGATCCCGGGAACAAGCACGTTAATTGACTTGGCAAAGGCTCAGATGCCTGTGGGAAGAGCGTATAGCGTGGATGGTCGAGGTTGAAACAAAAGCAAACATTAAACAATGCATGGCGCCCCATATACAAAGTAATCCAAAGATGCAAATGCTGGTATGTCATCTCTCTTGCCATGGTAAAAAGACATCGGTATTCTTTTTGTTCGTCCTTTCATCATCTTCCTGTAAGTTAAAAAAAAATTTTGCTTTCCGCCGACACAAATTGCGAAGATAAAAAAAATATAGATAAACAAATATTTCTGGAAAGGCGCCCCGCGTCTCATGAAAATTCAGGAGCTTTCGTTCTTTTTCCGTTTTTTCATTTTGTTCCGAGAAGTAAAGAGAAACATATAGTCCGTTTAAACAGCATGCCTGCTGGGCTGCCCCAAAATAACGTCTAAAACTTGGCTAGATCAGAGAAATTTCTTTTGTGGTTCTCTTGGTGAGTGTCATCTCGTCATCCCTCATCGAATCGTAAGCCAATAATCGCAGAACAGGATCAGGCCTCGTGATATAAGAGTCATATGCGTCTTGCGGCAAAGCAATCTAACAAGTTTCGTCGTTTTTCATCTCCCGTCAAAGTTGTTTACTCCACAATGATTTCCACGCCGGAGTTGGTCCGCAATTCGTCGCTGCCACGCGATTGGTGTCCGTTTGGGCGTCGAAAACCTGGGCCCTTTTCGGGCAGGGGGCCTCTCGGCTGCCTAATTGGCACGCGCTCCTGTGACTGTCCGTCAAATCCAACTCCGATGGATCGGTTACTACCGATGGGTCCAGCACTGGAAGGTTGACTTTCCGGCTGTTCCCAAGAAAACATACCCCGCAATCTCCGTGGGCTTGAGCTAGGCCCACCAATTCCAGTTCCCAGAGAAAGGCTGCTGAGACTGTTCACTAACAAATTATCATCCCGCGGCATGCCCAAAGACGATCCAGATGGGGCAGGCGTGAGCGTCGGGGTGTTCGAGGCGCCACTGGTGGCACCCTCATAATGCTGGAGGCGTGCACCATTCGACTGCAGGGCCGCCGGGAAGCTCGCGGACGAAGGCACTGGCGACGGAGTATAGGAACGTAGGTCTGCGAACGACTTCGCCGCACGTAGATTTTGGGCATTTCCAAAATTTCCTGGGGAATCGAGAACACCAAGGAATCCTGAGGCCTGCCCTCGAAGGGTGCCGTAGGGGCCAGGACCTTCATTGCGCGCTTCGCTAAAATCAATCGTCGCCGCGCGGTTCAGTCCGCGACGGGCTGTTTCGGAAGGCTGGACGGCGGCGGGAATCGATGACAATGGAGGGCTCACATTTGTGCCAGGGGCCACCTTGAACACATGCACCTGTCGCTGTTCCCCAGATCCGCGCGAAGCGTGACCCAAGCCCATGTTATGGGCAAGAGTGTGAACGGTACGACGCTGAACCGGGGAAAGGTTTGAAGGGAAAACCAGTGTATCGCGACCGGTATCCTCCTTGAACAGAAGAAGTTGGGAATAATATGATAGCGTCGTGCTGTCATTCAAATCGACCTCTGCGAAACGTCAAGTGCGATTAGCGCCGACCGTAAATGAAGACATGGAGATGGTCGAAAACAAAAATTAAAAGAAAACTTACCTAGCTTCTGGCCACGCTGAGAGACGGGCGACGGAGATGTCGCGGGGAGGTGAGAAGTCAGCGAGGACATAGAGCTCTGGGTCTGAAGCTGGGAGGTAGCCATGGGCCGATGTTGCTCTTCCAACTGGCCCCGACGCTCGCGCTTCTCCCGTTCAATGCGTTCGCGCTCTTGAAGCGGCAGCATCTTCTTGTACTCGACCCTCAACTTCCGTCCTTGAAGCTCAAAGTGGTTCAGAACCTCGATGACTGTTGCTGTTTCCTCCGCGGATGTGAAGTTCGCGAATGCCAGACCCCGAAAAACGCCGTTGTCAAAATGGTAGTTGAACGCATACGGCAGCGGCAAATTCAGCTCGGTCATTAACTGTACGAGCTGCTCCTTCTTAACAGCGAAAGGAATATTCTTAATAACAATCGCCGTCGGAATCAGCTCATCGTCGGCCTCCGAGGATGCGGATGCTTCTGGACGCATCGCGCTGCTTTGAAGGGGGCCGGGTCCAAGGTTCGAGAAGGCACTAGGCATACCCGGCTGCTGATCAAGCCAGGTCTACTCGCATATATTAGTCAAGCCATTGCATGGGAACCGTCTCCAGTTTTGCGACACTGTACTTACCGTAGGCAAGCCGGATCTTCCTGTGCGAGACGTAGTCTTCAAGCTGGTGGAGGCCGACCGAATGGCTCCAAGAGCCTGAGGGTTGGCAAAGCCATTCGGGTTCCAAGTCTGCGAACCGGAAAGATCATAGGCATAATTGTTGTTGTGTAGTGAAGGGTTCAGACGCTCCAGACGGCCGGTCTCGTAGCGAGACATAGGATCCTCGTACAGATTCACAGGCATAGGACCGTACGCGTCAAACTGTCGCGAAGGCTGACGATGCAAAGGCTGCTGGTGACGCTGAGAGCCAGGAGAACGCGCTTGGTTGTCGTGATACATTTCTTGCGCTTGCTGATAACTCATGGCGGCTAAGACAAACGAATTCCCGACGGGCAGCCAAATTCTAGAATGTGGGCACAAAAATCCACCGCACAACAATCCCGTTTCAATATCCCAATAGCGTGAACGGGCTACTCAAACATAGGAGCAACCGAACAGAAGAAAGCCACTAATCGAAGACGACCGGCAGAATGCGAACGGCGCTGTCGAAGGTGGACCAAAATTCTCGACTTAGAGGCGTGTGGGGAAGAAAATAGTGGTTCTAGACACCAAAAATCACGGCGGGTTGGAATCTCTGGTTGGCGTGAGAAACAAGTCAAAGCCAAGCAGCAGTCAAAAATGAGACGAAATACACAAAACCGCTCACAACTGCTCGTCTCGTGGTGCTTTGGTCATCAATACCAGGCGTATCCTCAGGCGTCAAATTTTCGGAAACTTTTTTCCTCCTTCTCCCCAAGAAGAACTCAAAAGTGAGGGAAATAAAAAGTGAGATAAAGCGAGGAGGAAGGAAAAGAAAAAAAAAAAAAATATACACATGGATATTCCAGGTAGTAGCAAAGTAACTCGGCATTATTCTCATGAACCACCTACGTACACGAAAAAAAAAAAAAAAAAAAAAAAAAACTACCACGGAAAAGAAAATACAAAAATAAAAGCAGCAAAGTAACAAAAAAAGGGTTAAGAGGGGAAAGAAAGAAATAAAAATTGCCACTACCCGGGATTAAAGGTAAGTGCCCAAGAGGGTTAAAGTATGGGCGAGTTGACGGACCGGTGGTGGTGGTGAGGGGAGAAAAAAGGGAAATCGAAGAAAAGAAACAGTTTATTTGATCGCAGAGTCGAGATTGGAGGTTAAGGCAGGGAGGTGGTGACCCGGGAGATTATTGGGGGTGTGGGAAAGCACGCACGCCAAACGGCACGCAGAAAAGCCGGAACACGGCGACCGCTTTAGTTCTGGTCGGTCCTTCCGCGGATCCGCCAAGTCAACGAATTGGATAGATCGGTCTGCGTTGATGATAATGGCGGGCTTGACGGTGTGAGATCTGTTGAGAATGCTGGTCGATCCCGTTAGAATTAAATTCTTCTCCCAAATTCAGTCTTGTCCAGTATGTCTATAGATCGTTGCAATCACAGTAAATTCACACACACCCCTGTGTTATCAAATCCACCAAAGACAAAAGCAAAGCAAACAAAAATAATAATAATAATAATAATAATAATAATACTTGGAAATGAAATCCCTAAAGACAAAAAAAAAAAGAAAAAAGAAAAAAACAAGTGAGGGAAGAAAGGGAGAAACAGACAGACACACTAGAGGATAGCGGATGGGATGAAGGGATTCCCGTAATTGATCCAAAATGGGGAACGGGAGCGGGAGAAGAAAGAGAGACGAGGGAGAGAGCGAGAGAGAGAAAGTGTTCTCACTAGTCTCAGTTTTATGTGGTGTGTTTTTTTTTTAAAAAAAAATTTTTTTGTTTAATTCCTTTTTTTTTTTCCCCTCTTTTCTTTTTCTTCTTTTCCCTTTTGGTTGGTGGTGGTTTGAATGTTTTGGTTTTCAAAAGAAAATTGATAGAGCAGAAGTTCAAGTCACTCACAGTTCAAACACTCTTCAAGCTTCCGTGCTTTTTCTTTTATAATCAAACTCCTCCGGTGGGTTGTACCTTTTTTCCTCTTAGTCTTTCTTTTTATATCTTTGCTGAGTCTCCTTTTGTGTGCTCCTGTTTGTAGACTGTAATTTTAATCCTTTCCTCAAAACCTTCCTTCTTCAGCTGTGGCGGAGGCGAAAATACTCAGGGAAAAGGTGGGAAGTGGAAACAAATTATAATACAATGGGGAATCTGAGGCTTTGCCCAAAAGGGGAGATGGGTTCCTATTGGTGTAGAGACTTGCACCAGCAAGTGTAAGTGTGCAAGAGGATGTGGAGAGGCAGAAAAGAAATGGAAAATAAACAAAAATAATCAACGGCGAGTTGAAATAGGTAGAAGTGTAAGTAATAATTTGTTTCACGATAATAATTGAAACACAGGAAGAAGCAAGAAGAAATCCAATCTGTAGTTTGATTGTCCGGGCTTCTGATGTCCATCATTTATGTATGCGGCAGTTTACTGTTCCATCCTCAGTTAGGTGTTAGTTTACCTATGGGACACCTTAGTCAGGTTATTTTTTAGTCCCATAAGAGCCAGGTACTAAGGTATTGAATTGAGATTACTGTACCTGAATTGCAGTACTAAACTAACCTGCGTCAGGTATCATCATGTCCATGCGCTCCTTTTCCCCCTCCTTCAACATCCCCTTCGAGTACTCTTTAACCCCCCCCCCCCCCCCTTAAATGAAGAGGGATTCTTACTGCCTGGGGAATGAGGAATCTAGAAGGCCACTCAGGTCACTTCCTTCACCTTCTCTTTCTAGAAAACATCTACTCCATACTCCGTATTCCTTCCCGTTATTAATAGGCCTTCTAGCTTGATTATTCCTGGCTCGGCATATATGAGTTAATATCCCTTAGATTATTAGGATTCCATTTGCTCATTGTCTCTAAACCAATCACAATGTCATCCACTGCACCAAGTTCCTTGGATTATTGACTTCTATCCGGCAGCTTTACCAAACTCACGCAAGTGGTGACCTTATTTGCATGTTTCAAACCTTCAATAGACTGATGGATTATCTCTCAATTTTTTCTATTGCTAGTTCCTGACAAAAAAAAAAGAAAATCAAAAATGTGCACTTCCCCTCTCCCCCTCCTTTTTCTTTTGTTTTCTATTATTATTATTATTTTCCACTTTCTCCTTCGGGCGGCACGGGGAACTAACCTTGAGAAACTTACTTTAACTCCTTAAACGGGTCCTTAGTATGAAGTTACTCACCACGTACCAACTTGAAGATCCAGTCCTTTTTCTGTCTTCTTTGTCGGGACGTTTCCGTGCCACCAAATACCATCGTCTTTAGTTAGCTTGTCCCTAACGACGAACTAGTCCCTGTCTTCCCCCCATGTCCACTCGTCCGAAAGGTTCCTGATTGACGGTTCTGGAGTTGGAGCTCCAATGCATCCTTCGAGTCTTAGTTAGAAGGTGGATTGGGATCCGCTCGAGGTGGGTAATGATTCCATTACGGAGTACACCAATTCACCACCTCCGAACAGGGGAGCTTCGGTACAGTCGTCCACCGCCCACACGAGCTGTCGCGCCGGCTCTTGGCCGTCTTGATGTCAATATTGTTATTCTTGCTATTGGCGGCGTGGTTGGGCTCAGGTTATCCATCTCCATCACGATTGCGGGCGGTGAGGGTAGCAGCGTCGCCGAAATCGATCAAGCTGTACCTGATGATTCGTGACCGTAAAATTGTTCAGGAGTCGGTGCGTCGTCCGTCGGGGATGGAGATAACCCCTGATGAACACCCAACTCCCCCATCTGTCCGTGACCTTTTCCCTCACCCCCAGAAGATTAGGCTGTACGTCAAGACGACATATTTGCCATCTCGTTATTATTAGTAGCGGATGTGCTCGAGACCGTTCCCCGTGGCTATTATTATCACATGCGATTATTACGATCTTATTTACTTGACACGCAGGTTTCTGGCGTCCGCTCCCTAACCGTTTAGCTCATATGAGATTCAATGGCAGGATAAGTCGCCCCTTTTCCGACGAGAAATTGCGAGGCATGATCCATCATCTCCGACGAATAATGAAAGAACTATCACTACCCGATAGGACGAAAACGGTGAAGTTAGTTGGGATCCGCTGCAAATCCGCACTTACTAGCTAACTATGGGGAAAGGTCTAGTCTAATATTCGGCGGTTTGGGATTAACACCCAAGCTAGAACCCACTAGAGTGTCGCCAGAACCAGTCGGATGGAGACCTCAGATTTCGCGCCTTTCTCCTGAGAGGAGTCCCAGTCCGATATCGTATTCCTTGTGCTCGTGGTCTTTTCCTTTTCTTTTCTCTTCTTTTGTTTGTGTGTATGTGTGTTCCTTGTCCTCTAACCTACTTCGGTGTCCCTGATTTCGAGCAAGTCTCAAAGCGGCATCGTCCGTCACCTGTCAAAACGTGCGGGTTTACGGGTACTATAAGCCTTACTTGGTCTCGGGATTTACTGGGTTAAGGTATAATAAGTACGTAGTAGCTGACCGATTCCTGCACCTTAAGCTTGGGCACCCGCGGTGCAGCTCCCAGCTGGTCCCATGGTGTGGCCCGGGGAGGTCTTTGGGTGATCCCGTACTGAACTAAAAGCGAAGCGACGTCTATAGAACATTCTTAGTCTGTTCCCACAGCGAATAACAGCAGGCATCTACCATTATGGGGCCTTAAAAAGTACTAGAAGCCTGCTAAGGCGCACCTACGGGTGCTGATTGGAAGCCTTCCCTATAGGCAGCTGATGTATCGGTCACATTTACGTGATCATATGGTTTTGAGGAGCGAATTTATTTTATGATTGTCCGAGTTTGGACCTACGGAGATGAGTGGTAATCTGTCGGATGGGCCTGCACGTATCTCATGCACCCACTTTGGTGAGGTCTATATGACAAATCTGATGGCACTACTGTATTGGAAACTCAGCCCTTCTGTCTGCTGCACGCGAGAAGTGGCCGAATTCACTTATTTCAGTATGTCCGTTTTATACCATTCGGGCCTATAGCATATCTTGTATTAATCTGGCCTCTTTGGTACGTTTTTCATTTCTCAATTTATTTTATTTAAAAAAAAAAATTTTTTCTTTACTTCTTTTCCCCTCCCCTTGGTCTCACTCACGAAGCAGCCACTGATAACCCAATCACTAACAGAATTATTTTTACCTGTGGCAAAAGATGCTAGAAAAAACAACGGATTATCATTTAATTCCCTCAGACTTGGACAGGCAATGATTAACCTGTAAGTCATACATTCCAAGACATTTGCCCTTTGCAGAACAACTATCAGTTTCGGGCAGATATCATCGGACACAGCTGTCTGTGCCATTCCGTCTAGTAGTATTTTTCTCCACGGAAAAAAAAAAAAAAAAGGATTATTGTTCGGGATATGAAATTCTCGACTTACTTTGTTGGACTTGAAAAGGCAGTACGCGTTTTCGGCTCCCGTTCTTCTTTCAGGTCTTTTTTCTATCTTTTCTATCTTTTTTTTGTTTCCCTATGTATTTCTTTCTTTCTTTTTTTTTTTTTTTCCTTCCCTCAGATTCCAATATGCAGTCCGTGCTTGTGCATACTAAGGTACATATGTATGTAATCGGCAAGCCACAAAGGTCCGCCAATCGACACAGTACCTTATGTATCACTTTTCCGTCATTTCGGGATTCCCCAGAACAAAGAAAAAGAAGAAGAAAACAAGTATGCCCAACTAGGAGAAAGCTAGCCTTACACAATCACAATCCTTTGAAGTATACAATTACATATATTACCTACTTGATCCGTACTTCTGTCCGATCACCGACTAGTGGGGCCTAAATTCGCCGCAGCTCACAAACCCTGGTCACGGATGCAAGGGTCTACGTGGATACATGGATATCAGATTCCTTCGCCCGTTGAGGAGGGTTTTGTGGAGATTTGCAATGCATGGTGGTCGGCCTTTGGTTGGAGTACCTGGGATTATGTAGGACGTAAGGGTGATTCTGGCCCTTGGCTTTTCCAGGATTTTTTTTCAATGCTGTTGTTGGTTGATTTTTACAGGTCTTTGTTTTGATAACGTAGGCGTACTATGTCATCCAGCATTTTGTTTCTTTTTATTCATTGGTACTTTAGCACTACTGATTGAGTAGGCTACACTTGGATGAATGTCCTAGATTAGATAATTAGATATGCAGTAAGTTGACTAGTTATTGGATTTATTATGTTGCAATCCATGAATCCATGAAGCACCCGGCCGATACTTACTTGCCATGTTGTCTGTCGTCTTAGCTGTTTTGTTGGCATTTATCCCCTACATTCCATTCGTCTGCTGTGTTTTTCCTTCCCTGCCCTCTGTGAGAATTTACCCTACCTCTCATCTGGCTTCCTCGGCAGCTTCTCAAATCCACTCACCCTCCGATCCGACCAAAGATCGCCCTTGAGCATTAAATAGAGCAAAGTAAAAGCAAAGTACAGAGTACATACATATACACACTCGGAGTACAATAGAAACAACCCCCCCCGGAATACCTACAACCCCAATCTCCATCTCGCAGCAATGCACCACTGAATAAGTCTCCTATCTCTGCTTTGCCTGCAGGTAGCCAGTAGCCAGTAGCTAGTAGAAACCACGTAATTCGAGAATGGAGTTTTTTATCCATGAGACTTCGAACTCTGAAGATCTATCCATCCCCTCGGAACCCAGAGAAAGTTAAGTTCACAACCTTAGTTTAGTAGTCCGTAGTCCATTCCCCCGTCTCTATGGGGACTGAAAATTTTAATTTGACTTTTAATGTACATGCGTCTCGGTTGCTAGTATTCGTCTGCGATACAGTATTCTTGGGGAGGATTTATTTTCCCCCCTCCTGTTCGCTGCGTTGGTGGGAAGTAAGGGCGGGTGAGTGAGCTAACACGTCGTCGTGCGACTCGTGCCTGGTGTTCTGGGGAATGGGGAGTTCATGGGGGTTGGTTGGTGGTGCGGTTGAGCTGCTTATTTCTTTTTCTTTTCTTTTTTTTTTTTTTTGAGTTTGGGTTTGGGTTTTGGGTTCGGTGTAGTAGGTTCAAGGTTCATGATTGGAGGAGTTTGTGATAGCTTTGGTGGTGATATATATTTTCTGGTTATTTTGGTGCGTGCAATTGGACTTTTGTGGGTTTGGTAAGGATAATAAGTAAACTGTGCATTTCTGTCTTTTGTATCTGAATATATAACTTCGTGTGATTCCTTTAATTGAGTCACCTATCCCACTCAGGCAAAAAGGCCCATAATTAACTGCTGAACAAGTACTCAATCGGTTGGGTGGTATAGTATATGTATAGGGTAGTTCCGCACAACCTAGAACTATATTAGAATGTCTGCAATTTCTATTTGACTATCCATAATAAATATTATCATAGAAGAGTAACATGGGAGTATCAGTCCCAAAATACTGAAGAACTTAGCAATCACAGGTCATGCATATCAAAGGAGTGATTCAATATACACCACATAGATAAGTTAAAATAGGAAGGGCATATTGTCGAGCAAACATAACTCATGACCAGCCGGGTATATGAAGGATTGGCATGAAACGTAATCATATATCTCATTCTCCCAGATCCATATATTCACTCGATGCAGTGAATCAACATCTCATATTATTCCTCCACTCTCCCCTTCTCAGCAATATCCAATCTCGTAATGTCATCATGTCATGAGATGTTCACAGCCAGGCAAGAAAGCCTAGTCCGACAACGGCAGCCAAGGAAGCAGCCTTGGGGCTCGAATAAGCAGATGCCGCATTGTCAGTGTTTTGGGCGCTCGTCGCGGAGTTGGTGCTACTCGCCGAGTTTCTGTTGGAATTGCCCGAGGTGCCACCATTCGTGGAGTCGGCGATGCCCGATGAGGTTGCCGTCGGGGTTGTATCGGTGCCACTGGCGCTTGCGGAGCTAACGGCGGAAGCTGCGGCGGTTGGGTTGTAGCTGGTTGTTGAGAGGGAGCAGGAGGTGAGGATGTCGTAAGCATCTGGACAGCATCGGGCGTTAGTTATGAACCTTGAGGGAGCAGGAAGGATTGTATACCGTTGTGGTGGGGATTGCGGTCATCGTCGTCATCATCATCATCATCATGGTCCCTGTTGTTGCGTTCGCTGCGATACTGTGCGATACAGGCCTCACAGAGAGGGATCAGAGATGGTGCCTGCTTCCAGTCGCAGATACACTGCATCTCGGCGCGGTCACTGTCGTGCATGTTGTCGCATTTGTGCGCAATTCCTACCACCGGGCCGCAGACGTCCCAGCAGCGATTGGGCACGTCGTCGTGTTCCAGCTCGGCGCCCATGGCGACGTTGCTCATGAGCATGAGGCCGGAGAGAGCGAGCAATTGGGCGGTACGCATTGTGTATGATGGGATTCGTTCAACGATGACACGAAGTAGATGTTTAGAACTATAAACAGTTCCGGATGTAGATGGATTCTGTGGTCGAGATGGGATTGAGGAAGTCGACGCTGATGATGCTGTGATCAATTCGAAGCGGACGAGGACGCATATTTATAACCCATTCATTCGCGTCACGATGTTTCTATATTTAAGGATGTCATTGCGGGAAACAAGAGCTTGCCGAGACGGGGAAGTTCTCCGCATGCACCATGGCAGTTTCATCGCTTGGGATTCTAGCGATCTGCTTTCAATGAGAGCTGTTGAAACTCTAAGCCTTCCTCGGGCGACATGCCAAGCACGGCTGGCGTGAAAATCTGGGACAACCCGCAGATCCACATATGAGTATCACCAATATATCGACAGGGAACGAAGCTGCCTGGAACAAAGAGGAAAGAAGGTTATGGGTTTGCAGAGCTGCCAAGAAGTGGTTTGGTCATCGCTACCAGACTTGTCTGCGGGGAATGTCATTTATTGTTCTTCTGCACTTTCACCGCCACACTGGACCCTGGGCTTTTAGGTTGGGCTTTGTAAATGTGGATCCTTTTGTAATGTGTATGCTAGGGACGAGAATAATGTTAACTCGGGGAGTATTATTGATGCACTTCTTCAGGAAGCTGTTGTGGAATGCCTTGGTTTGATGTTTACCACCAGAGGATGTTCTGTCGATGATGTCACTCACTGTCTCCCTTGCCTCGTCATCTGCACTGGGATCTACTAGGAACATCCTTGGACAACTCGGAAAACGAGGAAGTCAGACTGACAAACTGAAAGAAAAGAAGATTTTTTTTGTGATCATCGCTTGGCACTCAATTGATCCTGACAAGATAAGATCAGGCAATAGCATTACCGAACATGCTCTCCAACGTATGGAATTGTCGGGTTTCTGCACAGCCTCCCCGCTATATATAGTTGATCGGAGGGTACCGATTACTTTGACAACACAGTATCATGGCCAGTTAACGACAAGAAAAATATGCTGCCTGTATCTACCCTGCATATTGCAAGTACATGGACATATGCCATGCCCACAAGTCGGATGCTATTCATAGCTCAAATAACTGAAGGTGCTGTACTTTGAGGGTTGCTGTCTCTCGGATATAGGGTTACACTGGAGCACTGGACAGTGACCTTGATGTGTTTCCGCATGATTATCTATTTAGGGAAACGTCTACAGTCTGCAGGGAAGATCCTCGTTTCTATCGGTTAAATGGATGACTTGAGTCATCTAACACCCATTTGACCGAAGAGGTCGGGGTCGCTTCCACTCGAGGCAGGAATAATCTATGTTACACTACTATACAGGCCATTGCCATGTATTGCAAGAGAATCGTCCATGCACAAATTAGTTGAGCGGATTTTTCATATTCCTTAACCGTAGTATGAGAAAAGCATAACGGCTGGCACTCCTAATGCGATAAGTACTGTTCCATGGCGATCTCTTTGCTTGAAGGTGAAATTGATTTTAGTTAAGTTGGCCAGACCAGTGGTCAAGATAGGTTATAGGAGGGGTTGACCTGTAGGTGACGTCTTCCCTCATACTCTTTTGAGATGTCAGAACAGCGGCTTTCTTGCAAACATATCATTGGCCAACGTGCCCGAGTGGGCTAGCTACAGATGTTCTCCACCTCGACATACATCACTACTACATTCATACTTCTTGACCTAACAATACGCTACCGTATAATTCTTCTGCGGGTTCCTGGTGAGATTCGCTGTAACGATGGCTCGCACTGCCATGCCCAAGATGTCTTGGGATAGACATCTCCTACGTTCGGTGCAGAACGCACCCCCTGCGACTCTACCGGTGTTCATATATGGCACTGCATGGAAGAAAGACCGAACAGCAGATTTAGTGCACCAGGCCCTTAACGCTGGCTTTCGTGCCATAGACACCGCGGCCCAGCCGAAGCATTACCGGGAAGACTTGGTAGGCGAGGGCATACGCAGGGCTATTCGGGACGGAGCGATTCGACGAGAGGATCTCCATGTAAGCCAGACGTAATGTCTATAGTATACCTAGCTGTTTACCTGGCTGACCATGGTTAGATCCAGACCAAATTCACATCCGTTAATGGGCAGAACCCCGATGATATGCCCTATGATCCTAATTCCTCGGTGACAGAACAAGTACACGCTTCTATCAAATCATCCCTAGAGCATCTTCGTGCATCTGACGCCCCAGAAAGCATCAACGAAGCGTATATCGATATGCTCATCCTTCATTCCCCGCTTCCGACAATGTCTCAGACTTTGGAGGCTTGGTCCACGTTTGAGACCTACGTCCCTCATCGAATCCGAAACCTAGGCATATCAAACTGTACCTTGCCGCTGCTTAGAGAACTATCCTCACTGGTCAAAGTGAAACCAGCGGTTGTCCAGAATCGTTTCTATGGGGGCACCCAGTTCGATGTCCCGTTGCGCTCATATTGCCGGGATAACGACATAATTTACCAGAGCTTCTGGACACTGACAGCGAATCCAGAATTAGTTCAATCGGATGCAATTCAATTGTTAGCAAGTCGCACAGAAATCAGTCCCGCGGCAGCTCTGTATTGCCTTGTTTTAGCCCTGGGGAACACCACTTTATTGAACGGGACGAGTAATCGGGGCCGGATGGAGGCGGATTTGACTGCCCCCGAGAAGGTAGAGAGGTTCTCCCAAGAGCACCCGAATGTATGGCAGAGGGTGCTTGAGAACTTCCAGGAACTGATTGGGGATCATGTCGCGCTCTAATTGAGCAGTGTTCCCTTCGCATGCCTTGCATTAGGGTTACCCTCATTATCCGATGGTCAAAGCGCATTCAGATTGAGACGACAATCAATGGAATCTAGTGGAACTTTAATGGAATCATCTAGAGCGGACAAAATGGTAGCATATGAAGCTTTTGCAGAAAATAAGGACGATGCCACGGTATGAACATGAAAGATGATTGGTTGTTTGCATATGAGTGGATCAGTGGGCATGCCGCGTTAACTAAACTAGTAGGCGTTAAGGAAACAAGACAATCCGAAACGATCAGCTTGAGACCAAGTGAATTTGTCCACATCCCATAGCTCAGGTAGAAAGGTAGCGATATACCTGGAGTAGACACACTGTATAGCAATCTTTTCGCCCGTCTGCCCTAGTCCGCACTCGTTTGGTGAGCATCTGGCTTACTCAGCCCCCCTAGCCAATCAGCGACCGCCGTGGACCATTGACCTCATCGTCACCGCCAAGCATCTCGACGGTAGCGGAGAGAAGATTTGCCAGACGCAGGCCATCTTCAGCCATCGCCATTCATCAAACGCGAGTTGTCCTGAATCACTTGGATTCGGTAACTCTTGTTTGCGTCGCTGCTGCACTTCACTATACTGTTTGTCTTCTCGAGTTTGTGGAACGGGCGGATTTGTCCTCTTTTTTTTTTTTTTTTTGCTTATTCCCTTAAACCTTGCGCCGGTGCCATTCCTCCTCCACCCATCCGCCGCAGCGCCCGTTCCTGAGAAGGCGCCGCTTACAAGTCCTCATCACACATATAAATCGCAACAGTGATAAGCAATTGGCTTGCTTCTTCCTTGTCGCTCATCTTAGCTGGGCCTGCCGCGAGCCTGCTATCCGATTGACTTCGACCCTCTTGATAGTGATTTATCGCCCCGCGTGTCGCGTTCCAATATCGATATATCGGCCCGTTGCCGTAGACCTTCTTCCCAAGCGTTTGTCGATTCCGCCTGGATGATACCGCTTCAAACGAAATCCCTATAAACGATTCACTGCGCTGTTATTGTTATTTTCAGTATTGAGCCGCGTCGCGCCATACGAGTTCCCCGCCATAGCCTAGCCTTGGCTGAAAAAGCCATTGAAGAACGCCCTATTGACAAGATATCGGATTTTACCACATCTTTACTCAACCTCAATAAACGAATCTTAGACTGAATAAAAGCTTTTCTCCCTATCGGCCAGACATCGCCATACCGTCTGCCATGAGTCCTCAAGGCTTGACGTCTCGCAAAAGACCTGCTCCCGGCACATCTCCTATCGTTCATCCACAACTCGGTCCGATCTCTAACTATCCGCAAAACTCTGGTGCTCAGCTTTCAAACGACCAGTTCTTACAATGGGGTCAAAACACTTCCTCAAATGTTGTCAGCCCGACTTCATTTTCTGATGCGAACCCTTATGGCGCTACAGCATATTCGGCGGGTCAAGATGTGCCGGCATCTACGGCAACTGCATCTACACAACTCGCTCGTAGACAGACACCCAATCAACTGGTCAGCCGGAATCGTGGATACGAACAGACACCGTCCTCCTTGTCTGACCATGGGAGTAATACTGGAGAGCCTGGGGGCTGGGGGGAAAGTTTGGACGAGCTCTACCAGCGGGCATTGGTTGCCAAGAGGGAGGTGCAGGCAAAGAGGAAACAAATCCCTCCATTTGTTCAAAAGTTAAGCAGGTATGGTCTAAGCGACGTAAAAACTACTTTGGCGATCAACGACTGACAAATACCTCCAGTTTCCTGGACGAGTCTAAGAACACTGACCTAATTCGGTGGTCCGATGACGGAAACTCCTTTATCGTGTTAGACGAGGACGAGTTCGCAAAGACCCTAATTCCCGAGCTTTTCAAGCATAACAACTACGCTTCCTTTGTCCGCCAGTTGAACATGTACGGGTTTCATAAGAAGGTGGGGCTCTCGGATAATTCGATGCGCGCCAGTGAACGAAAGAACAAGAGCCCTAGCGAGTATGCGAACCCATACTTCAAGCGTGGCCACCCCGATTTGCTGTGGTTGATACAGAAACCTAAGAATACGGCAGGGCAAGGGAACAAATCAGGGAAGGCCAATGTACGCGTGAAAACCGAAGAAGTAGATGAGCATGAGAACGATGACTACGATGATGTCCCCGGTGTACGAGACGACCGATCCCGAAATCGACAGTTATCCCTAGTCCAAGGAGGAAATATTATGCCGAAAGATCAACTCGCGGGGGTTTACCGGGAGTTGCAGGCTATTCGGCAGCAACAGCAGGTTATCTCCAACACAATCACCAAGCTACGGAGAGAGCACGAGCAACTCTACGCACAGGCCGCCAATTTCCAAGAGCAACACACTCGTCACGAGAATTCCATCAATGCGATCCTCACATTTCTGGCGACAGTCTATAATCGCAG